TTAGCCGCAAATCTTTCTCTTTTATATAGCCAGACTTAACAAAAATTTAAATGTCTTAGCATCCACCACAGGGGAGTATATCTCCTCTAATTCTGGTCTTTGTGTGAATCCTTGTGCGACAAGCCGTGTCTGATATATCACGCTTTCACTATGTTTATTTCACATAATCACAAAGACTCATTTGTCCCACTGGCTTTACATTGAATGGTGTTCTTCGTATTGGACCAAACACATTCTTCTTCTTAATGATTATTAGCTCCACGTTTTATGGTCTTGTACCATTTTAATCAATCAGGTCTTTGAGTGCACTCTAGTATAGACGTGGGCTCCTGATCCTCATTCATTTCAGTTGCTATCTTGTACGCAAATATTTTATCATTGATGTCGACATCTTTTCGGTTCCATTGTATTCTAGACATGATATAGTTTATAGAGATCTCTTTACACCTTCAGGACCTTGAGGTTTGGCGTCCCAAACCTCATTGATTGGTACCTTAGGGTTATGTCTATTAGCCGGCCATGTCTATGGTTTCTTGAACCTTCTCGGTTTCCCTTGCACCTTTCTTTGATTTCCGAGGGTTCTTGTCTTTGGAACCTTTTGGGTCTACCACATTTCTTACGTGTTGTAGCCTCTGTAGCAACTTGATTGTGTTCCTTGTAAACATCAATACGTACTGGTGCATTACAAGCTGGTATGTACGATTTTGTTACTCTCTTTGGGTCATTATAGGAATCTTGGCAACTGTTTTAGCTAGCTTTTGCAGATATATAGTCTTTTGGATCTCTGATGGAGTCCGAGGATCTTGCCATGTGAAGGATGTTTGATTCCATGTAAGTTCTTTGACCAGCTTGTTAGTCTCTCCACCCAGTGTTGGGAAAACGGATTCATTGAGATGACAATCCTTGAATCTGGCCTTTGGCTCGAGATACTTAATGATGGTGGGAGAATCATTGTTAACGTATATTCCCATCCCCTTTTGAGGTCCCATCATTTGCTCTCTGTGGTGGTGCAATGGGTACATAGACTGAACACCCAAATGTCTTAAGATGGGAAACGTCTGGCTCATGACCCGTTAGCAATTGGGATGGGGAATATCTATGCTCACTAGAATGGCCTGATGCGTATAAGCTCTTGTTGCATGTAATATTGTGTGTCCCCAAGTATGGACATGTGCCACGGGGTATACTACTCTCCCCCTCATGGACATACTGTAGCCATAAAACGCTTGAGACATAATTTACCAGCATTATCTAGACATATAGTCTTAAGTATGTGGGCTCACAGACTTATGGCATTATCTAGACATATAGTCTTAAGTATGTGGGCTCACAGACTTATGGTCTGGGCCAGCAATCTAGCAAACACCAAGTTTCTAGTTGCTTTGACTGGTGATGACCTTAGTATGGGTTTCCCTTGTGTACATGCTGCACACGTGAGGTCCTTAAGGAGTGTGCCCTTTTGATTTTAATATCAGCTTTACGCATCATGTTAGAACCAGGCTGGCCAAGCCGGTCATGCCACTAGTGAATTTCTCAGTAAATCCTTTTGTTTACTGTATTAGCCTCTATCATATTGACCTTGGCATAGTAAAGGTCTATGACGCGGGTATAGTCTCTAAGACCTTCTCATGGTCTTGGGTGCTCTTAGTAATATATGGGAATCCTTTGTTCCCTTCACCCTTGGTTTCAATGTGGAAACCATTCAAACACTTTTCTTTGAAACTCAACAAGGCCCCTTTGAGCTGGGTGAATATGAAGCATCTGAGGATGCGTGCCCTTGGGAATATGGGCCTGCCATGGGCCTGCCCTTAGCCTTCACTAAATTTAGCTATACCCGCAATTTGGCTAATCAACCATGTCTTTGGATATTTCGTTGGCATTCCGAAGTCTCATAGTCATCTATCTCATGGTCGAAATCTTCTTCACCATTGTGATGAAATGAGCTTCTAGATTCTTTTCAAACTCTCTTGATAGAGATCAATGAGATGCTTAGGAGTCATGCACGTCTTAGTCCAATGGTTTCCCCATTCCTCATCAGTGGCAAACAAGTTTATTTGAGTGTTGTGGTTTGGGTATACCACGGCCTCTAACTCGATTACGACCAAAGTCGGGTCGGCGGCCTTAACCATATGAATGGTTTCCTTGATCATATAAATTATAATTGCCATGATACTTATCTTTTTGGACGTGGTTAGACTCTTTAGTCTCTTTATGCTCTTTAGGCTCTTCAGCCCAATGGGCTTCTGATAATGGGGTAGGACCAGGAGGTCTCATTTCACTATTCATAACTCATTGTTTTGCTCAGCAAGTAGCAAAACAAGAGTTTAGACTTGCATCGGGCTTTTGGGTAATAGCACCGTTTTTTTTTTTTTTTTTTCAACTCTGTCCTGAGGTCCAGAGGATTCTTAATAGTGAGGTACTGATTTTGAGACTCTCATTGAGGTGATGGCGTATGTTAGTAATCGCCTTATATCTTTCTCTTCTGGTGATATTGTTTCCTTCCATAATAGATTCACCAAGCTCTTTTTCCTTTAGGACAATCTCGGTGTCCAAAGCCCATTGTAAATAATTGTCACCAGAGGCATTGAGTGCCGTGTATTCATAATAGTTGATTTCTGATATCTATAATATATAGAGTTAAATGAGAACTCATGTAATCGGTTAGACCAAGTCATGCGGTATTTAAGACCGAGTCATGCTTGTCTTCAGCAAGTGTTTTCTAAACAATCATGTTATATATATATGGATGAAATCAACCCTAGAAGATTGATCTAGTATACAACAACCAAACAATCGGATCATACTAGATTAGGATATTAGGATTTCGCGGTTAAGTTTTAGGGTTTTAGCATCCGCGATTTATAGTACTAGGGTTTTTGCTAGGATTTCGGTTTTATGTATGGAACTTTCTATTTATGGAAACTTTCCTTATATGGAACTTTTCTTTTATGGAAAATTTCTATTTCTCATCTAGAAAGAAATCCTAAACAATTATGTACTTTAGGGTTTTGGAATATTTCCTTATGAAGGCGTTTCCTATTTTGGTAACTTTCCATTTTGGGAAACTTGCTATTTTAGGGAACCTTTTATTTTGGGAAACTTGCTATTTTACGAAACTTTCTATTTCTGTAAACTTTCTTTATATGGAAACTTTCTATTTATGGAGATTTTCTATTTATGAAAACTTTCTATTTCTGGAAACTTTCCTTATATGGAACTTTCTATTTATGGAGATTTTCTATTTATGGAAACTTTCCTTATATGGGAAACTTGATCTTAAACCGTGACTTAGGGTTTATTAAAACCGGTTTAATCGAGGATTTAGGGTTTCGGTTTTCTTTTGGATTATACCAAACATAAGTCCGGTTTTAGGTCTATAATCAAACCGCAACTTGCAGTTAGGGTATCGCATTTTAAAATCGCGATTAGGATTAAACCGGTTAATCAAACCGGTTAATCAAACCGGTTATGTTCTGGTTAAGGTTTCGATTAAGGTTTCGGTTAAAAACGGAAATAGCGGTTTGGTTTTCACGATTAAAATCGCGATTAGGGTTTATATTTATGGAGGTTTTATGGTATGAGAGAACAATCAAGCAAACCGGTTTAACCGCGTATATGATGAATAATAACTTTAATATGCTAAATTTATGATTATCAATCAATTTATAACTCAATCGTAGCGTGTGACTATAATTACTCTTTCACAGATTATTATAAACAATTTTAATACGTAAGTAATAGCGATTGACTTACGACTCTTAATGGCAAATTAGCAATGATCAATACTCAAATATAATTAGATGAAATACTATATATAATATTTGGTCTTAGAACAGTTAAGCATAATTCAATTATGAATCAAATTTATAGCAATAACGTGATGAATTAAATAATAATTGAAATATGTTAAACGTAGAGTATCAATCAATCTACGACTCCGACATATCAAACGTGCAAAGTAATATTGTTTTCTTATGAGAATTAATTAATACAACATGACTATAATAACTAGGAAGATCAATAACATAGACTTAGGTGCTTTTAATAATAAAATAATATATTATATGAACAGATCTAATGCAATGATAAACAACGATCGAAAGCATGGATCAGTTTTGTATCTTAATTAATTAAGCATGACAATATTGACTACATGAATCAAACGTAGACTTAGATGCTTTTAGTAGTAAAATATATTATATGAGACTATGAACATAATAATATTCAAACAATCTTATGCAACGATTAAATAAACAAAACATGAACCAAACAAACAATCATGCAATAACAATCATGCAAGAACGATCTGTTTAGAAAGTATGAGTGGATCGTTTTATATATTAAACTTGAGGTTACTTACCTCGACGTGAAAGATGAGATCGGAAACGGACGAAAACGGCGAAGGCTTTTGTTTGCTCGGCGGCTAGGGCTCGTCAAGTTTAGGGTTAGGGTTTTTTTTTTTTTTTTTTTTTTTTTTTTTTTTTTTTTTTTCGAGCTTATGTGCTGATAACGTGTTGTGAACTGTGTCTTTCATTAATAGAAAAAAGGATATATATACAAGGATAATAGCAGGATACAGAGAATAAGGTAAAACCCTAATGGGCTGTGGGCCGGTTATGGAGTCCATCCATATGGTTTATAACATAACCTACTTATTGGACTCATATCGTGAATACTAGTACTATTTGTTCCTTAATGTCGTTTAACACATTTCATACAAATTAATTTTCTTAAAACATATAGTCTCTATCTACTGTACCACACTAATTAAATGGTGATGATTTTTTTTTTGGGACAAATTTTAAATGGTGATGATTTAAATTCAAAATTTATTAGTTTTAACTTTGAAATATCGGGTAAAGTAGAACTTTAGTTTCAAAAAATTATTGGAAATATAAACGATATTTTTCTTTAAAAAAAAATACTGTAACTTTAAAACGACAGTTTAATGAAAGAAGGTGTATATATATATATATATCTATTGTCTTTTTTCAAAGTGAAACACAAATATTATTGACCAATTTCTTGAAATCTCTGCAAAACATAACTCTTTTTCTCTTTTCACTTGAAAACGTTAAGCAGTAAATGTGATGCAGAAAACCGTACGAGTAAAATCAAACAACAAAACAAAATTAAAGACATTCAAATATTAAATGTACCAATTAAGTTTCCGATTCACCGGTGAACATTTCACCATCGCTATAGAATCTTTTTCAGAAAAACACAAAGAATCCAAGATTCACTTTCCACGTGTCTCGTCATTAAAATTCCACGTGTAAAATACAGTCAAACCCAGTCAAAGCCCACAACGGATATTCTCTTGTTCTCCCGCCTTTCTTTATAAAAAAAAAAAGCAAAAACAAGAAACAGAGAGATTTGAGATTTTCTCTGCAAACTCTCAGAAAAATCCATTTCACCTTTGAGAGAGAGAGAGAGAAAGAGAATAAAGAAGGATGACGAAAATTGACTCTCTCCGTCGATTTCTTCTTCCATGTATCACACCTCCGACGAACTCAACCACCGTATCTTTCCCCGGAGCAACAACATCCACCGGAGCTTCCAAGAAACGTCTCAGTACTTCCCTAAGAGACGATATCGACGTTCAAGATTCAGCTTCTTCCTCCGCCTCTTCCTCCGAGGCTACTTCCGCCGCCGCTGACTATAACCTATCCGCCGTCACGGTGCCGCAGAGACCGTCGAAGACGATGGTGATTGGTACGATATTCGGTAGAAGAAAGGGACACGTGTGGTTCTGTGTTCAACACGACCGTCTCTCTGTTAAACCAATCCTTCTCCTCGAGCTTTCAATAGCTACTAGCCAGTTAGTTCACGAGATGGGTTCGGGTCTTGTTCGTGTGGCTTTAGAATGCCCGACCCGACCCGAATTGAAGTCGTGTTTGCTAAGATCCGTACCCGTTTGGACGATGTTCTGTAACGGAAGAAAGCTAGGTTTTGCTGTACGGAGAAGTGCTAATGAAGAAACGAGGTTGATGTTGAAGAGATTGGAGTCTATGACGGTTGGTGCGGGTGTGTTGCCATCTGGATCCGGGTTGGGTGGGTCGGGTGAATCGGATACTGATGAGGTTATGTATATGAGGGCGAATTATGAGCATGTTGTTGGTAGCTCTGACTCGGAGTCGTTTCATCTCATTAACCCGGATGCTAACTCGGCTCAAGAACTCAGTATCTTCTTGCTCAGGACCTCTAGCTGAATTGGCCTTTTGGGGTAACTTATGAATACTTTTCATCAAGTTCAGAGATTGTGAAGTCAGATGAGAAAAATTGAGATTTTTTCAGGTAGAAATTCAGGTTTTAGTTTAAAGATCTTTCTTTTCGAAAAGAGTCTAGGAGTTTGCAAGTTCTTGATGAGATATTTCTTTGTGGGTCGTTGGTTCTTGATCTTTGTAAAACATTTTTTTGTTAGAAAGATTGATGATTTTTTTTCAAGATATTCTTGAGTGTAATCTTTTTTTGAGGTAACAAAAATGTTCTCATTCCAAGACTCTTGTGTTGAAATCTCATCATTGTGACAAGTACAAAAACACAGGATGATCAAGCAAACAAAAACTTACATAAGCATCATGAGTGTAGGAAGAACAGAGAAACAACAAGACAAAAATGTTATTCTCAGTCTCAGAAGATATGCTCACGTGGAACAGTGTTAAATATGATGCCTATGAATGTTTTTACCACCCAAGAGCAACTAACCTATACACTGGATATTTTCTCTATTTTTCTTCACGGCAGTAAGAAAAGTAAAATTTACTACCAGAGTGTTTGAAAAGATGAAAATAAACATGTTCCTTTCTTCTACTAACTCTATAAGCAGCTAAAATTCCTCTAAGTATATAAGTGGGAGTTGTCAATTGGGGAGAGAGGTTAAGAGTCTCCTCAAAGCCTCGTATGTCATGAAAACGATGCCAACCCCAGGAACCACTTTGTAATATTCAGGCAATATTCCTCTGTATAACCCTCTGATGCCTTCTGACTTGAATATGTGTTTGAATGTTCCAAAGAGTCCCGTGTTATATACTCGCGCTCTTCCACCAGCTCCTTCCACTTGCATTCTTCTTCTCACAAGATCCAATGGGTATGTAGCTACAAATTTACGGGAATCAAAAAGTTTGTCATCTGATGCATATAATAAGAAGCAGCTATGTATGTCTCTAGGAACAAAGCTCGAAACTACAACAACGCAGAGAAGGTCAAGTCGAATAGCAAACCTGTTGAAGAAACAGCTCCAGCTAGACCTCCAGAAACAAGAGTAACAACCAAATTCGAATCATTTGGCCTGAAGAAGTTCAAAGAAAATAGTAAGATATGTATGATGACTTAACATCTGAAGAGACATATATATTCAATAGGCGAGTGCAAAAGTAACAGAAAAATCCCAATTATAGATGACTTTTACCTATGAGAATGCCAAAATGATTTCATAGACTCATAAGCAGCGAAATTGATAGCAAGACTTGGCCCAACACCCTACATCACAATGTACCAAGAAGTTAACAATCAACACAGTTTGCATAAGAGAACATGGGAAAGCAAACAAAGCATACCAACAATGTAGCACCAAGTCCTTTATATAGACCCAAAAGTCCCTCTTCTCTGCATATGGTACGGAAAGTATGCTCAATACCCTGGTAATACATTGCATTTCTCTGGGAAGGATCAAATATAATGCAATGCAAGACAAGAAAAGACAAAGAAACACTGGTTAGATCAAGGGAATAATAAAGCTTTCAAACATCATATTCAAGAAGAAAATAGGAAATCAATTACCTGTGCAGCAAGACGAGTCCTGACAAGATCGAGGGGATAGGTAGCTGTAGCAGCTGTAATTCCAGCCAAGCCACCACTAACAAAGTGCACAATCGGGTTGCCACTCGTATTTCCTATAAAACTCTGTACGACTGGATTTGAATTGAAAAACTGCAAAATAAAAGAGCATTGTGGGGCTGAGTGACAACAGATCATAAACGGCGGTTACACACGACACAAATTAGAAAAAAAGACTAGAATGCAACTCACTTGATTGTACTTTTCATATGCATAGAAGTTTACTGCAGTATAAGGAATCCGGTGTACTACAGTAACCAAATTTCCTTTCCAAAAGGCTCTATATCCTTCCTCGTTGATAATACGGGAAGCTTCATGCCATAAGCTTGGACGGCTTAACACTGCACCTTCTGATTGCATACCTTGCAACTGAAAGAGACAACAACCTTCTTAACAAAAACAATAGAGAACAAGAAGCTACAAGCCAACCTCACGCATTATTGTAAATAAAGGCTCAAACTTTGCTACTGGGTCAAAATGTGTGACTTCATGAGCTCACTAAATGTTCTCAAAACCCTCATATCAATTCCTAATCTAAAACCCCCAAAACCCTCTCTTATCACTAACCAAAACCAAGCAGAAAGCGCAAAAAGACCAAATTTTTACAAGCTCAACGAAAAGGGAAGCTCAAATCTCGAACCAGACCTGAAACAAGATGGTGAGGCGAGCAAGAGGAGCGGTACAGGTCTTGCTAAAAGCGCCGGCAATACCTCCAGCTAGGAGATTCTGTAAGGTGCCTAGCTTCGCCTGCGGCTTAATCTGAGGCACGACGCTACTATGAACAGTGGTTGCAGTGTTAAGAGCATTCTGAGCTCCATCCACCGCAACACCGACTCTAGCGTCAACATTCATATCTCTCTATCACTGTTTCTATGAGTAACCCGTTTCTGGGTTGGCGAATTCGGAATCGAAGGTCACATCAATTGAAGGAAATTGAATTACGATGGGGATCGGAGACATCGACATGGGAGAGAGAGGGAAAGGTGAACTCTTTGAGAAACCCTAAATCTTGCTTGGAGAAGGAGAAGGGTATTTTGGTAAAACAGCTCAGATACTGAGATACGCGGAATATGCGTAACTGTTTCTCAAGTTGTCTTTTTTTTTTTTCCAATGCTTTTCTTTTTTTAATATGACAATTTTGTTCCGACAAATTTCTAATTGAAAATATAAATGGTAAAGTATCAAAATTGAAGAAAAATAATTTCGGCCGTCGGAAAACTGTTTATGAAAATGGATTATCCGATTTAATCTATATAATAGTATTGTTTTTTATATTTAATCTAAATTTTGTTTAGAATAGTTTAGACTTCAAATGGTGATATCGGATCGGTAGATATCACATATCAAGTACATCGGAAATCACAAGTGCAATTCGAATGGGACGAATGGAAACGATGCGAAACGAAAAGAAGAAAAGTTGAATAGTTACTAATAAGTGTCGTGAGAATACAAAAATTGATCAAAATCTATTGGTTCATTTTCATATCATAATTTAAATCTTCAACTTAAATTTATCTATTAACCAAAGAAAAAATCTATTGGTTCATGTTTTTTTTTGTTATTGTTTTAAAGTAAACTTAACGACATATACTTTGCATTGCATGTCTTGTTTATTTAGGCGACGGACATGGACGAATCAGCAGAGCCTTGGCTTGGCTGCACACTTTTGAAAGGACATCTCTTTGCCACAATCACAAATACACATATATTGGCAGAGATAACACCAGCAAGAAACCAGTAGAATCGGTCCAAGCGGCTACTGTTCAGGTCCTTTCCGAACCAACTCTTCCCCGAGAAATCCTCCGCGAGAGTATCAATAGCTGTGATCAGGAGATTGTTAAGGAAGCTAGCCACGCCTATCACGCTTAGGTAAAGCGCTATACCTAAGCTTCTCATGGAGTCAGGTACTTGGTGGTAAAAGTACTCTTGGAGTCCAACGAGTGTAAAAGCGTCCGCAAAGCCAATGACCATGAATTGAGGAGCTAGCCATGTCACACTCATAGGTTTGTTGTTGTTGTTGGTACTGTCCAATCGTTGTTTCTCAACTAGAGCTGCAATGATCATGGTGATGAGGGAGAATACCATACCTATCCCGATTCTTTGGAGAATGTTGATGCCTCTTTGATTCTGTGTGATGCTTCTTAGTATGGGAACGAGGATTTTCTCATAGAGAGTGAGTGAGATTATCAATGTGAGGGCGGTGAGTGTAAACATGGCAGCTGGAGGAAGTTTGAAGCCAGCGATGTGTCTGTCCATAGTCATTGCTTGTTTGATGAAGAAGGTCGAACCTTGTGTTGCACAGATGCCAAAGGCCAACGTGGAGAGCCATATGGGAATCACGTTGATGATCAGCTTTGTTTCCTCGACTTTTGTCAATGTTACGAGTCTCCATGGACTGTGTTTCTCGAGGGCCAGAGGACTGCTGTCTTCAATAATTGCGGCCTTGTCAAGAAATCTGCAAGGAAACAGATTAGGATGCTTGAAATTAACAAATGCAAGATTTTTGAGTTTGGTTCTACTCACTTAAGATGCTGTGTGTGACAGAGAAGCCGGCCACTAGTAAACTCTGCTTTGGAAACTTCATGAAGCAGAGAAGGATCAGAAGGGTAAGGTAGATTTCTTTTGGCAATGGCCGCAACAAAGACTTGCAAGATTGGAGTCAAAGGACTACCCGAAGGAGTCCGATAACGATAGAATGGTTTTCCAATGAGGAAGATGACAAGTGATATAGCCATGACTACAGTGAGTATGATGCCAGCAACACCCCAACCAACCCGGTCTTCGATATAGACAACAGCAGTCACGGCCGTTAGAATACCAGCACATAGACTAACGTTCCACCAGTTAAAAAAAGACATCTTCATCTTTCTTTCTTCAATATGATCATCATCGAATTGGTCAGCACCAAAGCTCTCAAGGGAAGGTTTATGACCTCCAGTCCCTATGGAGATCAAGTAAATGGCAATGAAGAAGGCTATTTCGTGTGCTTTCCTAGGTTCATTGCACACATCTTCATGACAAGGTTTCAAGCCTGGTATAAACCAGGACATTGTTAAAAGGACCAAACCCTGTTTTAGAAAGAAACAAGAGAGAACCATCAAGACAAAGTTTAACATTGTTTATGGAATCTTTTTAAAAAAATGGATTAGGGTATATCAGATGTATGAACATATACTACCATAAGATAAATGGTGGTTGCAACCAAGACAGTGGAGTAACGACCGAGATAAGCATCGGCTATAAAGCCTCCAAGAAGAGGCATCAAAGTAGTGACACCCGACCAGTAGTTCACATTTCTTATAGCCATCTTGAGATCTTGGTGGAGAATTGTTGTTAGGTAGACAACCAAGTTTGTCGCTAACCCGAAGTAACTCAATCTCTCGCTGAACTCGATTGCTGCGCAGAGAAGATGAAACAAAAGACTTCACAAAGATTTATATTTTGGGCTATTATAGCATACTTTCAATTATGTGGTATAAAGTTTCAGCATATACAATCAAAGTTCTGTACCTATGATAAAGAGTGCAGCCTTCCAAGCGCCAGTTCGAGCCCGAAGAGGAACACGTCCTCTGCTATCGAGAGAAGAATCAAGAACCCATTTCTGTTGATCATCGCACGAATCTTGAAACTCTGCACCAATCTTCTTATGCTCCATCTGTTCAACTTTTATTGACAAAATACACTACACGAGAGAGTTGGTTTTTAAGGAGTATGTGTGTATGTGTGAGAAGAAGAAAACTTGGTCCTCTATATATATAGGCCTAAAGCTCACTGTATTGACTCATCATTTTCTACAGTGTTTTCTCACATTGCCTTATTTTCAGCCTCAAGCAGTTTTCATTTTCTAATTTTCTTTATTTTTTTTCACATTCACGTTGAGAATGATGAGTAACACAACGGCCGTATTCACAAAGATGAAAAATATAGGTAATATAGAAGATCACATAAAGTGCAAGAACTCGTAAGTATAAAAGAGAAGTAACAGAGAGATGTCAAGACAGAACAAAGCTCCCAGTGCGATTGTTTGTCCAACAACTTTTTTTTTTTTTTTTTTTTTTTTTTTTTTTTTTGTGCAAACGTTTGTCCAACAACTTAGTCTATGAAAACTTATGTTAAACTTCATATTTTCATCAAATCCAAACCCAAAGTGAATCTCCAAATCAAAATCTTATCTTGAACTTGTCCTTCAACAAACTTTACAGGATGGTTATTAGAGCATGTATATGGGTGATATTCATATAGTATCATTAGGAATTTTTTAGTATTATTTATAATGTTTGTTTATAGTTTGAGATTTTTTATGATACTCCTACTAAATATGTTTGCATTGGTGAGATCAATTTCAGTATCATAAAAAAAAAAATGCAAAAAAAAATTAATATATTAAAACATAATATTACAAAAGGTAATATTACAATAAAAAGAAACGTAGAATATACTTAAACAAAATAAAACATAAAATTCAAAAAAACATATAAAACATGATGATAAAAAAATTAGTCGCTTGTAGTCAATTACCTTGGCCCCATTTTTGCCAAATATGTTCAATCAAATCTTCTTTCAATTGTCGATGTGTTTGTTCATGACGTATTTGAGAAGAATTGTAATGAAAAATATGAGAAGAGGAAGAATCGTTTCGAATGGATTTCAATATGAGAAGACAAAGACATATATATATAAGAGAATTGTACCAATAATACATTATCGACAATACATTGTGCTACTAAAACAAAACAAGTGGTTTCTGACCAATACATTGCACCAATAAGACAAAGACCATAGAAAGTAAAAACAAGTGGCTTCTCACCACAAAAACATTGCCGACCATATGCCATGTGCTCATCTTCACTTTCCTGCAAATATCAAGTGTTCAGTTTCAGTTTCAGTTTCGACACAAAGAACTCTATATTGCTTTGTTTGAATAAAAAAAGATGATATACTAAAGATTTGAAATCCAAAAGAAGCTTATGGAATCAATAACTTTATTTGCCTAGTACATATGCAAACCTGATACCAGAGTCAATTCAATTTTATAACCACTTTCATTGTTTATTGTCATATTGTGAGTAATCTGGTGCTCATTGGGTGGTCTCAACACTACAAGAATCTCATGTGAAAGACATGTACTACGGAAAGAGTGTGAAAAGCACTGAGATTAAATTATGGACTTACCTCCTTAAGAATTATTAGTGAAGCACATTCCGGGAAACTACTAGCCACACTGAGCCATGCACAAGAATGATGAGGACGTCCTTCTGGTCCAAACATTGTATTTCTGAAAACCTTTGATAAAAATCAAATGTCAGATTATGCATAAGATGATATGGGAAAATAGAGTACAGTGAACAACAACAGGAAGTATATAGTTGTGAGGTTTTGATGATAGAAATATAACAGGAAGTATACAAATTATGCATAAGATGACAAGAAACAATATGCACTTATATATTCGGTCCTGAGCAAAAACAATAGACACATATATTACCTGCTCACGAACATCATCACTCTGAGAAGCCAACAGTTAACAAAAATCGGAACAGCACCATGTTCAATGACCACCTTTGTATTCTCTTAAGTCCCAGAAGCAAGGTTTGTATGCCCAAGCAGCCTCAAACTGAACCCACATGCAAAGTATTTGAAGTATCAGACGATAATTCTAGCAAATGAAAGTTATATAACAGATACATAAAGGATCCACCAAACCTGAAGCTGTGGATAATCCACAAACCGAGGCACAACACCAGCTTGAATCACCTCTTCAATCGGAGGACTACGCTCTGCCAGAGTTCAAAAACCACAGATTCATTTCAAGAAATTCCCAAATCGAAAGCAAACGTAAAAACCTAAATAAAAATCGATCTAATTAGCTCCAAATCAAAGAACAAAACACAAACCCTACACTTGTGAAATCAAATTTCCAGAAACCCTAATCAAATCAAATTTCCAGAAACCCTAATCACAAACCAAGAGAAGGAAACGAAATCTACACAAACTCTATACCTAGATTTACACAGAAGGAAACGAAATCAGAAATCGGCAAATCGCCGTGAGAGAGGAGAGAAAAAATTGAATCTTTGGATAAATGATTTTTTTTTTTTCTCCGCTGTCGGCAAAAGATTTTTTCGCGACCAATCACGACCTGACACGTCACATGATACCCAGTATCATGAGTTTCACTGGGCTGATACGGATCAGACCCATAAAACATGTTTGGTCCATTTAAAAATAATAAATGGGCTTCTGATACTCTTAAAAATTCTCCTATGTACATGGTCTTATATTCTTTTCACTTTTTCAAGACAAGAACAACAAAGAAAAATTCTCTTGCTACATTCTATTACAAGATTAATCCTCCTAGGTAACCACCTAAATCTTATCCTTTTCTGACAGAACGAAATGAGGAATATATGAAATCAACTAATAACTACACACTCAATTTACTTTTATTATTTTGGAATCAAAACTCTCAATATTCTGCATCTTGTCACAACCATCTTTCTAAGACAATATTACCTTGTTTGTTTAACCCTTAATCCCAACTCCACCTACTCCACTAGGATCTAAGATGCTTAAATTGTTATTACAATCTTTCTCCAATAGCATTTAAACAATTAATTGTTATTACTAAGAGTCAACCCCTATCTTGTATCAAATGGGACTTTATGGCAATGGCCTATGGCTGAGGTAAGTAGATAAACCTTGTCCCATAGTGCTAACCACTATTAACTGAATCATCTACAAGCAATACCAACATAAACAAATAGTGGAAAGAGAGATAGAATCTTCTAGTAAGTAGACTTGGCGCAGTTTAGCAAGTATGACTATGTAAATGGTGGGCATCCGCATCTTAAAGAAAATCAATTTTGAATATTGACACATGAAAAAACCTCATTGTCCAATGAATGATCTTTTTTTCACCACCTTAACCAAAATAAATTTGATTTGCCTGAAAGTAGGTCCTCCACTTCAGTGAGATTACTTTTAAGAAAGAAAAAAACAACAACTAAAATTGGCATAGAGTCCTCCTTTTATGAAAGAACTCACAGAATAATATAAAGCACATGTACCACCTGGTTGATTTCGCTCTCTCTTTTTGTTTTCTTCTTTTTTTTAAATGACACTTTGAGAAGTAAAGAGCTCAAACTACGAAAGCTAGAATGACTAACTTCACACGTTTTTCATGGCAACAAGATAAATTAGACAAAGTGCTTGATTTAAGATTTGATTGAAAATACTAACCTCCACTACTAAGCATTCTTCTATTTCACGTGCTTTGCTCCACATAGAAAGTTGTTAATACAGTCTCCCATTGTTATGCACTGCTAAACACAGTAGAAGTGGGTCATAGATATGCCAACACATATGGCTGTAAATCACATGAAGCACCATGCAATGGTTGATGAGTCAGAAGATGTTACCATCAATATCCAAAGATGACAAAATTGAATTAACGTCGGTAATTAAAATGGCTAACCAATCAGAGCAAATCCAATGGTCTTAAAAGTTGAACAATCACCAGAGTACCTCCAGGAATAGTGACATAAATTTATCTTGACGTGGAGTACAATCATCTAATAATTGATTTAGCGATAACGTACCACACAAAGAAGTGGCTAGAAAGTGAATTGTAGAGATCATGCCATTATCAAGTGCAAACTTTTTGACATCCAATAGACTTGAGCCATTTCATTATCATATAGATTTCCTCCATTTAGTATATTGAGTGATCACCAATATTGCTGATTTAAGGATAGCCGAATAAAATTAGTCACAAGCTTGCTTTTGTCATTTTTCATTCTATACTTCATAACAATTCATATACATGAACATTAACAAATAAACTGTTCTTCTGGTATGCTATCACAATAATCTCATTCGTCTTATCATATTGTCATCAGAAAACAAAAACTTCAGTATTGACAGGATCACTCTGACAATAAAATGTTCACAAACTCTTTTCAACTTCTAAACGCAGACACAAACACAAACATATTGGCAAGAATTTGACGCAATTGGAACACCACACTCCCATCACAAGACACAGCCAAAAGTTATTGAACCATAACTTGTGTGCTTTACATAATGGTTATGGTCAAAGGCCACAATGATATCGAAGGCCCAAGTGAGTTATTAGGGTTTCATTTTTCCTTATCATTCTCCTGACTTCCACGGAAGAAAAAAAGTTGTCTGCCCCACTTCAAGTTGAGTTAGGGTTTCAGCTGCTACACCTCCCCCATTTTGTATTAAGAACACACCTTCCCCTGTTTCCCAGGAACCCTAATCTGAAAAACTTTGAGATGGGGAAAAGAGGAAGTAGCAGCGGGAGCACGAAACTTGTTATAGAATCAAGGTATAAGGGATTAACTGTGGAGGAGATTGTTGATGATCTCCGTTCCAAGAACCGTGAATACGTTAGGTTGAGACGTTAGACACTCATGATCAAAGTCAAACAAATCATAAACTCATTGAGTGAAGAAGAAGAGGAAAGTGAAGGAAATAGGAAGAAACAGAGGAGAGATGATTGAGAACAGAGGAATTCGGATTTATGTATATCATCATCATCACCTTCTTCTGCTTCGTCATCCGGAAATGTATTAACATCGGAAGATAACATGCAGTTTGATATCACCAATGATGGTTTACGTGTTTCTTACTCTAATAAATCCAAGACGCCTTTTCGCGCGGAGACAATGAAGATGAAGGTATTTCTAGTGAAGAGGGAAGTAAGAATTGTGATGTAGAGGTAAAAGGACCAGCCTTTAAGGACTTGGGTGGGTTAAAACATGTTTTGGATGAGCTCATGTTTGATGTGAAATTCCCTCTTTTGTGTACTGACATAGTACAAGCTATTGCTTTGAAACCAATTTCTGGGTTATTACTTTATGGTCCACCGGGTTGTGGCAAGCCCACACTGGCTTATGCCATCGCCAATGAAAATGGTGTACCCTTTTATATGATTTCTGCTTCTGAATTGGTTTTTCTGGTGTTTCAGGTATGACCTCTTATCTTTCTTTCATTTTTGTTTTTAATGTCTTGGTTGGTTTCATATTAAATTGGCCTTTCCTTGTTCTAGGTGGATCATAGGAGAATATCAGGGAACTCTTCTCTAAAGCCTATAGAACTGCACCTTCGATTATATTTGTCCATGAGATCTGAAATCAATGCCTCTTTCTTTTTATAACTCTTTTGACAATTACAAAAGATAATTCTTTTCTCATACACTCTTCTTTATATGCTATACTTTTCTGCAGCAAATAAGGGAATACGATCGAATTTTCGCTGAGCTTGAAGACTCCAATTGAAAGAGACATTTTGACTTGAGTTATCTCTTTACAACACAAATCCTGTTTGCTTTAGTGTCGTTTTGTTATCTTTCTGTATTTCCGAGGACAAAGAAAGGGAATGTATTGGATTAGGTATTTTGGAAGGAAACCCATTATTAAAAAAAAAAAAAAAAAAAAAAATCCCATGCTTAATTATCTTTAATCCATTTAGCAATACATATTTCTAACCAAAATATACCACCTCAGACAATATATTCACAATTCCTTACCATGTGAAAGCAAGTATTAAAGAGCAATGAGAGAGGAGAGAACAGAAATGCACTAGACATCTTGACGAAACATAAGGTAAAGAGACATTCACTGATGTGAACAATGTATACCTCACATGAGTATAATCAAGAGTCAAGACTTGCCCTCTGCGATATGATACACTAGAACAGAAGAATGCCTGTAACTTATAGAAAACTTTGAATTGTCCTGTAATATCATGTTCCATCATCTTTTAACCTCATGTGTAGCAATAAAATGATTACTACACCATGTAAAACCACAACTATCTATAGGCTGATTCAAGATACACATATTGCAGAGTCATAACTATTTATAGACATTGATTCAAGATACAAATATTGCACACTCATAAGTATCTATAGACAATGCTTATTATACCAATCATTGATCCCTCGCCCAAAACCTATACTTGAACACAGAGATCTGTTTCCCTAAAACTGAAGACTTTGAATAAGCACAATCAAACTATTACAGTTTATGTTCAGAGACATGATTGATCAACAAAGTGAAGAACTCATACCTAAGATCCAATTTCGTATCTCCCATCATTCTGCAAAGTCATTTCATACACCTGAGAAGATTTTCCATTTCTCAATCTCCCACCATTAACACGATTCTCAATCCTCCTCTTACCTCCTTCTTCACCTCTCTCTATCCCCCTGATACCAACTCTCTTTCTCACCCTACGACCACGTAGCTTCTTCCCAATTTCTTCATCTTTCACCTCACTCTCTTTACCATCAGAATCACCATCATCAACAGAGGTTGATGATAATCTACCATAAGGTTTGACACTATGAACAACACCTTTAGGAAAAAACCTAGCAGAAGGCAAATCATCAACACTCTCAAACAATTGAGGACCATCTCTATCAGTCCATAGATCAAATCCACCAGGTTTCTGAAACCGATCCGCGAGTACCTTAACTTGTTCATCAGCACAAACTGAGAATAGATTCGGTGGTTTCTGAATCGGTTCCCATGGTCGTTCAAGCTCAGCCACCGCCGCTTTTAGCTCTGCGCGTTTTCTCATCTCGTAGATCTGACGTTCTCTGCATAACCTAGCTTTGAGAAGCTGTTTCTGTTTCTTCGCTTGCATCCTTTTCCATTGCCATTTTGATACACCGCCGGGGAATGTTCTTGGACCGCCGCCCATACGGATAACTGTTGATTTTCGTGGCTGTGGAGAAGGTTTGAGAGATAGGAGAGAGAGCTTTGAGTGGAGAGAATTGAGGTCCGGTGAGAAGAACGATGTTGATTTGAAGCAGGAGAGGTTAAATCCGATCATCGTCGCAGCCATTGGAGCTGAGGAAGTCGAGCAAATTATTTTATCTGTTCCAGATTTTTTTTTTTTTTTTTTTAATGTTTTTGTAAAATAAAATTATTGATTTTACAATTTTTTGGGCTGACTTTTTCCTTTCAGTCAACACAGAGATTGAAAAAATAATCATAGAAATTGGAAAATGGAAAAGAATATATACTTTTCATATCGGATACAATTTTTGGGTTTTTTCAACAAATATGTGAAATCGTTGTATTTGTCCAAGTTATTATCACAAAGAAATAAAGATGAAACCATAATAACAAAACTTCAATCCACTCACCAAATGCAACGTAACACAAAACAACTCTTTTAATTATATTCGAATGCACACACAAATCAGATGAATAACACAACACATTCCATTCTCATAGGGTTTGGTTAATCAGAAGTTACTGAATATCCCCATTCCTAACCATCGACCTGACCCATATTCCCAAAAGCCCTCCCACGAAAAACGGCGAACCCAAGAGCATGCCCGAAAATCGCGGCTAGGAAAACCCCACCATTGAAAGAAACAACTGCCAAGATCACAAGGTAGCTAAAGCCGGACTTGACTGCATACATAGCCGTGCGAAACGCAACTTTAGCAAGTTTATGTGCACCCGGTTTGGTGGAGGATGCGTCAGAGCACCTAGCAAGCCACTCGGCTAAGAACGCCAAAAAGAAGACGAAGATAAGTGCAAGAGCATACATCCCACGGTCAGGACCAGGCCATCCTGAGAAGAGTACTTGGCAGTTGTAACCCCAGTAGAATGTTGGATGTAACAGTGAGGGTCTATGTGGCGTTTGCGTTTGCGTTGTGGTGGTGGTGTTCCAAGCCTCTACTACGACGACGTTTTTGCTTGACAACATCTCCTTTTATTTGGTGGAAAAAGAGAATTGGGAGGTCGTTGTCGTAGTGGAAATAGGGGACTCGCTAGTCTTGCCTATAAAAAGTGTTTCGTCTTGAGAGCTAGGAAGCACGGAATCTTCGTCGGAGGTCCGCTTCCCGCTTCGGAATCTTAGTCGGAATCGGAAGCTCTTGGAAGCTTTCGGAATCTCGCTTCCATCGCGTTTCCAAAAATTCAACTTTGGAAGCTCGTTGGAAGCTTACGATTCCGGTTTGGAAGCTTGCGCTTCCATTTTATAAATTCAATTTTACAAATAAAACATGAAATTATTATTTTTAATCAAACAAACTCAAACTAAAAAATTTGCATACTAATCTTTGTATTTTATTTTTAACAAAATCATGTTTAGAAAATAGCAATGACATGAATCTAATATGTGAGAGATATTATAAATGATTAATTAATTTAGATTAATTTCGAGAGACTTGAGTTTGATCATATTTTTACCTATAATATACATAATTTGAAACGATTTTGTTTGATGTTATTTAAAAAAAGAATGAATATAGTGTTATAATTTTTTTCTTGAATTATTTGATTTTGTTTGTTGTAAAAATTGGTTTAATTTTTAAATTTAGTTTTTAAAATTTATTTATTAGATTTATGGGGTTAATATAACTTGTAATATGATATAATGTTTAATATATAGTTATATATATATATATATACATATATATATATATATTCTTTATATATACTATACGCTTCCATCGCGTACCGCTTCCGTAAAATTTTCTAAAAAATCGCTTCAGCGCTTCTAAACGATTCCGTTTCCGCGTACCCGCACCCGTTTCCATGCAACATAGCTTGAGAGGAAGAGACTGGTCCTACTAAATTATATGCTATGTTCATGTTATGAAGCAAACTCAAGATTTGCTTGTCGGATTTTTCTTTCAAAAAGCTACACCATGTCCATCAATAAAGAATTTTTGGCCGTATATTTGTAATCAAAATTCGTTTTTAAAGCTATATATAAATACATTGATATAGCTAACTAACGGTAAAGTATCGTATATGTTTTAATATGTTTTTTTTTTGTCTACGTTAAATATTTTGTTTGCTAAGTTTTTCTTTATAAGAATAAAGTTTATCAAAAGTCATTGCAAGCAATAATAATTTGTTTTTTATTCACTTAACAAGTAAATTAGTTATTTCCCCAAGCTTGTATTCAAATAATCATCAATATACTCTAGGCTATCTAGTGGTTAATTTGTTTTTAGACTAGGGAACAATCGATCATATGATTAGTCGATATATGAGATTTTTAATTATGTCAACACAAAGTGACATAAAATTTTCAGTGATAAAGGTGAGTTAGCCCATGTTACAAGAGCTAAATACTAATCCGATCCCCTCGATTCAGCAGAACATTTTTAAAACTTATCCAAATTACAAAAGATCTAAATTACGTCAAGTTTGCGTTCTTCTACGAGAGAAGGCTTATCACATGATCGAAGAGTGTAATGTTGCCCATACTAATGTACCATGCCAAGAAACAAACAACTATGGTTATGGGCCTTGTGGCATATTACCGATTAGGCCACGTTCTCTATTTTGGCAAGTTTAACCGCAAACACACAAAAAGAAAACACTTAAAGATTATGAGTTTGAACACTTGGATGCACGAAGCATAGCAACGTTTAAGGTGAGGAGAAGGATCTTTATATATGGTGTAGTCCACTCTCCATCATCTAACATTTGTTTATACGGATATTCCAACTCAACTATAATGCAACTTTAAACTTTTGTGATGAGTGAAAACTATTTCAAATTCTTTTATGCATTTTCAAATTTCACATGATTAATGTAAAGCTTATAAATATTTGAACAATTGGTTTTGAATCTAGATCTAATGTCAAGGCACCTATAAAGAGAAAATATCAAATCAGTTGCAATTAAAGTGCGTATAGCTATCTCAATTTTTTTTGTTCTTCAGCCGAAACAGTACTTCAATAACGATTCAAACACACACACACACACACACAAAAAATGGATAGCAAAATAACCCACAAAACAACTCTATCTTAGCCGGACCAAATTCTCCTATGAAATCATTGTCAGCTTTCTTACTCATCACCTCATGCGGCACCACCTTTGGACCACCCCGATTTAAAATCTCACATCCAATAGATTTCACCACGACAAGATCCTCAAATCCTCAAATTAAATATAAAAGGATGAAGATACAATTACCAAATTCAGAAAACTAGAGAATGCTTGCACTAATATTTTTTTTTTCTTTAAGAAATGTTTTAAATATTTTAATTAAAGTAAAAATGGATATTTAACGGAAGAGAGTTAAATGAAATAAATAAATAACTAAATTCAGGAGTAGCTACTAGCTAGTAACTGAAACTCGAGTGTTTGGACTTGAGTGGCAGTTTAAGTACTTTGCTTCGGTCAGAATCCTTCAAACACTCTAAATTCTTTCGTCTCCCCTTCGTCTTCTACCTTTTGATTTCGCGCCACCACGCTTCAAGCTTTCTCCGATCTGCCTGAGTTTTCTCCGTAAGTGGTCCCTATTTCTCACTTTTTCCTCTCTGTGGTTTGGTTTGGAATGAGAAAAAAGAAAAGGGAAAGTGCCAATTTCGTTTTGCTTTCTCTTTCTTCTTTGGTGATCCATTGCTAAATATTCTTATTTCTTGACAAAGGTTTCTGATTCTCCTAATTATTAGTTAGATCTGTGATTTTTTTGGTACTTCCCTGCGTTAATCGATTTCTAAGTTCAGAGATCTTCAAGAATTGAGTATGAAGAAAGTATTAAATTGTGTGACTCCATTGAATTCTCTAGTGAAAATTTTATGCCTAAATTTTCTCTGATAATCTTATGTCTTATTATTGCAGAGTGGTTAGTGTAATGGTGGATGAAGAAACTAAGATTTTGTATAGTCCCTGAGTGCAATATAGAGCCATCGCTTTGAGGTTGCTGGTTATTATTATATCACTATGGTGAGACAACAAAGAGTCTCTAAGGTTCATGGAGACAGATATCCCTTGTGTCAAGGCAAGGATGAGTCTGTGAAGCACGATATGTTGGATCCGCCAAGGTATCTCCGAAGAACTAAAGAAGATTTCCGCGGAAAGGCGCTTAGTTTTGGGGTTTTGGATTGGAAGCAGTTTGAAAAATGGAAGGGTACTAATGCAGATGGAACCAAAGAAGCGTGTCGTAGTTATGCGGAAACTGCTGGAAGTTCGTTGGAATTAGATTTATCGACCGGTGTAGTCAAAAGATTGGAGGTGGATTTGAAGTCTCAACACATGAGGGATCACAGTTTCTCACTTAGAACACAAGCATTTTCAGATGCTATGGATGCTGATATAGTGATGAGGATGGATCAAAAGGGAAAACGAGATCATCAACTTCTGAGTATGAAGCAGAGAGAACATCAAGCATCTCCAAGTAATGCCTCTGAGCTTAGCTCTTGTATCTCTCCAGGGTCAGAGACATTTAGAACAGTTGAATGTCAAGACAGAAGGCATGATGTCGAAGGCGAATGTTCAAGTCCGGTAACTGTGGTTAAAAGGAACCAAGAGAAACCATGCTTGTTGGATCAAAATATTCCCACTTTGACATCTAAAAAGGAGAGAGATCCTTCCCCTAACCGGAGGTTTAGCTTCAGTTTTAGTCAGATGAGTAGAAGTTTCAGTTCCAAAGAAAGCTCATCGTCATTGTCGAGCATATCTCATGCTTCAGCTAAATCAGGTCCTTTGACATTCACCGACTCAGTTTACGCCACTCACTCAACAAGAACGAAGCCGAATGGTCACAACAGAACAAGATCAGGTCCTTTATTAATACCCAAGACCGCAAAAAGAAATATACCATTACAAGTGGTGGCATCAAAACCTTCCAACACAAGACCACCAACCATAGAAAAGAAGCAATGCAGCTCAAGATTCCACGCTCTTTTGCAATTCACATTGAGAAAAGGTATCAATTTGTTTCAGTTTGTTGTTGGAGACAACAGCAATAACGTTCTTGCTGCTACCATGAAGACTTCAAATTCTTCTACACGGTCTTACACATTGTACACCGTCAACGAAGTAAAGAAACAGAGCGGAAACTGGTTAAGCCGCCACAAGAATGAACATCCATTTGTACATACAACTATCGGTCAAATGAAGACTGTTACTTCTTCCACAACAGAAACATCAATCCAAAAATCAGAATCTGTTTTGTTCGGTGTTGATTCAACCAATGAAGAGCTTGCAGCAATTGTTCAGACAAGAAACACAACTACAATTATACTCCCAAGTGGAGTTCACACATTGCCTAAAGATGGTAATAATGCTCCTCTCCCGTTGATTAACCGGTGGAAATCTGGTGGGGAATGTGACTGCGGTGGTTGGGACATCGGTTGCAAACTCCGTGTCCTGTCTAATAATCATATAAAGTCTCAAACTTTCTCAAGCTTTCAATTGTTTGATCAGGTAAAGTAACTTATTCTCTTCAAGCAAAATCATGGGCATTGATGATCTGACTCATTCTCAACGATTTGATTGATTCTCACAGGAAAGAGACGAGGCAGCTTTCAAAATGGTGAGTCACGGCGATGAACTCCACTCTGTTGAGTTTGGCTCATCGATCTCTCTCTTGGAAGCGTTCTTCATTTCGTTAGCAGTAACTAGTCATCAGAGTTGGTGTCAGGAGGAAGAAGAAGAAGCAGTTGTGATCGGAGATGGTTTGTTGAAGAGAGAAACACCGGCGAAATACGCAACAAACCCACCGGTTTCTCCAATCGGTCGGGTCTAGAGACAGAGAGAGTTGGGCTAGATAGTGTTGGATCTGGTGTGGGCTGGGCTTTAATATATTTGTAATTAAGAATTTTATGACATAATTGTATGGCATAGTTAAATCATTTAGAATTTTCGCAGTGTACAAAATAGTGAAATGCGTTTATGAATAATACTATAGGGTTTATGGTTTTGCATATATTATCCTGCGATTAAAATTCGAACTAAATTTCTTTTCAATACCTTATTTCAAAAAATAAAAAAATCAATTCAAGACGTTTATATGGTTGAATCAAAACCATTTTAGATTTTAGTATTTAAATACATTTGATGATAAATGAATAGAGAGAGGCATGTGAGGAAAAAATCGAATTTGACAGACATGCTTCGCTGCATTACCCTACGAACCCACATGCTCCTCCAAATCATATTCCTCCACGTGTAGTGTTCTTTTCAATTTAACCTCAATTAATTTTCTTAAGTTGCAAATTGGCCACTTACTTAACACTAATTACCCCGACATTACCTTCGAAAGTTTAAATTAAAGCGTCAAAAACGGTTGGTGGGTTTCATCTCGTGACCACTGACTACTTTTTAGTTTTACTTACTGAACAAAAAAGCTCTTTATCAGAATTTTGAATATTCTGATTTTGAGCGATACAACTTTTTTCTTATTTGCACTTTGAGAATTTCAATCATAATTAGAAGGTAAATGCTTTTCTCCAAATTTGCATACCATTTTTTCTTTCTTTCTGAAAGCGACTCTTGTAGAACAAAACACAGGCTCGACTGCTAAGATTATTCTAGAATTCTTTTGTAATTCCTAAAAACAATTTTTAAAAGCTTTTTGTAACATACACAATTGATTATATAGAAATCTTTTCTTAAAAAACAAAATTACATTAAAAAAAACTTCTTGTTTATTAGAGCCAAAATTGTATAGAGACTCTTACTATGAAGTTTTGTAAACTAAAAGGGTTAGATATGAGTAAAAATGATTCTAATGTGCACTCTACTTCTTTTCAGACAATAATTTAAAAATGAGTACACTTGTTCTAAATTTCTCTTCAAGAATTCTTAGGATACTACATGTCTGCTTAATCAAAAGGCTATTTTAAGATAAATGAATCTTTAAAAAGGTTAAGAAAACGTATGTAAGAAAAATCAATCGACATTTATTGCGAGTTTCTTAGAGTAAGAAAAAATAATGACAACAAGATTAAAGCCAAAGTTGTGAGGATTGTCGGACCAAAAATGGCCGAAATGTTACTACCAATCCTTAAAAACATGTGATTGGAACACCAAAATTTAATGGATTGAAAGATTGACTTTTCATATTTTTTGATATTTTCCCTAAGGAGACTTTTATGACTTTTCTTTCTATCCACCATTTCTGCATATATTTTTTTTTAATTTGCGGTTCACATTTTGCCTTTAACAATTTTGATTACTTGACTTAAAATAATTATTTTCAAGAGAAAGGCAAAACCTTACTTAATTAGCTGAGTTTTGTTCTTTACCATTTAAACCATATACAATGTCTTACCATATTTGAAATAGTATTTGAAGTTGAAGATTGGTTTTTATTTCCAGGATGAATTTCTCTACTATTAGACCACCATGAATTATTTCATTTATTGTTATACTTTGTTAAGTTGCTTCATAAAATATTTAATATAAATCTATATTTAACAACTAATAATTTTTATAGTACCATTAAGCTTCCATCAATAGGTAAATTCATAACAAAGATCACAGCTAAATACACCCAAATATTCTACTGTTACAATTTCTACCAGTCACTCTCTAAAATTGGTATAAAAATCATATAGCTCACAATATACTAACAGCTATCAACCTGTAATAAATAAATTCTGATAATTAATGTTGGAAAATTTAGTTTAATTAGCTAAAATCTTATTCGTGTAAAGAAACTTCTTTTTTTCCTCGTATAAAAATAAATATATTTCTCTAAATTATTTTCTCAAGGTTTGAATTATATTTTTGTTTCTTATTTATAATAATTTTCAATTCAACCGTTTCTCCGTGTTGAACTCTCGCCTTTTTAATCTATGGCTTCTTCATTTCTCAGATTCTGCTAAAGAAAATTTTCGCTTCTCAACTTCAAAAGTTTTTTAGACTTTCTTCTTCGATCTCTCTCTGTTAACTTTCTTTCGTTTCGTCTCTCTCGTTCTCGTTTTTTTTTCTTATTCTCAGATCTTGGATTGACGACCATCTCGATCGTTGACCGTCGAATTTGGTTTCGGCTAAAAATCAAACCTTTTCCGGTGAGAAGCTCGAGAGTTTATAATTTTATAAAGGGCACGATTTTGGTTGAGTGTTTGGTGATGTTGACCCAATTCGTTGAGGTCTGAAGTACTTATGGAACTGATTGTCACAATACAAGAACATCATCAACAAACAAGAATAATAAGATGACACTTTACATTCGTCGCGAATCTTCCAAGGTTCGTTGTTTTTTTTCTCCTAATTCGAATCCTGGGTTTTTCAGATTTTTCGCTGATTTGGGCTCTTTGTTTAATAGCTATGGAAGAGATTTTGCTCTGAGATATCGACGGAGATTGGTCTTCTTGCTGAGAACTGGAAATATCTGCTCGCTGGTCTTATCTGTCAGGTTTCACCATCTTAAAACTCTAAACTTTGATTCATTACTGAGAACTTTGATATGTGAGCTTTTTGTTGTTGTTAGTTTGAAATGATTCTCGTTGGATTCAGATTAATTGGATCGATATTTCTTATGCTGAGTGTGTAATGATGGATGACTCGTGTTTCTTTTTGGTTGAAGTCTGAAATGGAAAACGTAGGATACTTGTAATTATGATCATTGTTTTGTTATACATAGTAACTTTTGAGAGAAAGCTTGTGCCTTTGCTTTCTCAGCAGAGAAACATGTGTCTTGGACTCTTGGCTTTCGTTTTGAGCTCAACAATGTAGCATTTCCCCTCTTATGTGCAGTACATTCATGGTTTAGCTGCTAAAGGAGTTCATTATATTCATCGCCCGGGACCAACGCTTCAGGATCTTGGGTTCTTTCTTCTTCCGGTTTGTCTTTTAGATATATCAGCTATATGCGCAGTTCTGACTTCTGAGTTAACGACTCATTGGATCAGAATAGATGTCTTATTGCTTTGGTTTTCCATTGTATAGGAGCTTGGTCAAGAGAGAAGCTACATAAGTGAAACCGTGTTCACTAGTGTGTTTCTTTCGTTTTTCCTGGTGAGTCTTTCGATCTTGATAGCTTCCTCAGTATTCTAAGATTTATATGGGTTGGCTATCTTTCTGGTGATATGTTCTTAGTAATAGCTGAATCTTTCTTTGACAGTTATTGTATCAAATCAGCCATTACATTATTATATTTCGATATTAACACTCCTTGAGCTTCTCTCTTGCAGTGGACTTTCCATCCATTCATTTTGAAAACCAAAAAGATATACACCGTGTTGATATGGTGCAGAGTTCTAGCATTCTTAGTTGTAAGTTCCTGCCTTAATAGTCATTGCAAAATAAAAGCTTCCTGAGATTACTTTGTCTTGTTAATATTGAAGTTTGTCGATTTTTCTGTTTTCAGGCCTGCCAGTTTCTCCGTGTTATTACTTTCTATTCAACTCAGCTTCCTGGCCCTAACTATCACTGTCGCGAGGTAAATCAACTGAGATACATACACAATGTGTCATCTGTTTAATCAGTTAAGCTTAATTTTGCCCACTTTTTTTCTACAGGGCTCTAAAGTTTCCAGGTTGCCATGGCCCAAAAGCGCTCTTGAGGTGCTCGAGATTAACCGTGAGTCTACATATTTCTCTTTCCCCAATCTCAGATTGCGTCTACAGGCATTTCTTTGTTTGCTTATGTTCTCATGTGATGACTCTGATCTCATCAGCTCATGGGGTGATGTACGGATGTGGAGACCTGATTTTCTCATCGCACATGATATTCACTCTAGTCTTTGTCCGTACTTACCAGAAATACGGCACTAAAAGGTAAGACTTCTTTTGGCAACATTTTAAAAGCTTCTCTGTAAATCACATCCCTGCATTACTCTTTTGTTTATTCCATATCTCAGGTTCATAAAGCTGTTTGGGTGGCTCACTGCAATCGTGCAGAGCCTCTTGATCATTGCCTCTCGTAAACATTACAGTGTCGATGTCGTTGTTGCATGGTATGTTTTACTATCACACAAAAATTGACGCAACAAAAAATATCACTGAATACAGAGATATATTGACTTCTTGTGTTGATTCTTCCCTTGTTTAGGTATACTGTGAATTTGGTGGTGTTCTGTCTAGACAAGAAATTACCAGGTTTGATCTCAAAGAACCCTTCTTCACTGAAACTTCAACACTTTGTCTTATTTTGCGGAGACACAGTTTCTCATATCTTTCTCAAACGTCCATACAACAGAATTACCAGATCGGACTGCTGTGTTGCTCCCAGTAATCTCAAAAGACAGAACCAAAGAAGAGAACCACAAGCTGTTGAATGGGAATGGTGTTGATCCTGCTGATTGGGTATGCATCTGATTCTGTGTTTGTTCTCCTTCTCAATCTGAACAAATCCCATAGTTTGGTCTTAAATGTTTTTTGTTGGTGCGGGTTTTAGAGGCCGAGGGCTCAGGTGAACGGGAAGATTGACAGTAACGGAGTTCACACCGATAACTCAATGAATGGGGCGTGAAAACTTGGAGAAAAGATCTATATGAAAAATGCAAATCAATGGCGTCATGAAGGAAGACATGTGGTCTTTTGGTTTTCGATGATTTATAGAATTTGGAGTAAGATTCTGTAAGGGGGGTAAATTTTTTGGTTTTTGGATATTGGTTCCAGAAAAAAAGAACAGTGATAGAGAGAGCAAATGCTATTTGTACATTGTCAAGTTCCTTATTCCCCAAGTAATCATCTTTGTTGGATCACGTTGACTTTTCTTTATGTCAATTTTGTTACTAGAAACTGTTTTGAGCTTTGATGAGACGATCCTAATTGTTATGTGTTGTTGCCCTCTGCGGCCTTAAGCATCCTTAAAAGTAAAGTGTCTAGTTTTATCTTCTGTGATGAAAATATCACAATTCTTGACTTGAGGATTTCGCAAGCATTTTGTTATGGACTCTACAGTAGTCATGGATAGAGTTAGATCTTGCAAATTGAAAAAGCAAAAGTATCTGTGGAAACAGCTATATGAACAATTGTGAAACCTTCATTAAACGGATACAGTATTGTGATACAGAAAAAGCTTAAATACTAATAGAGATAACCAACTATACACAAAGATAGATAACCGAACTACATTCAACATTAAACCTGAGAGATATAATCTCTAATATAAATGGGAGATTATTGGGGAATGAGTGACAAAAGTGGAGGATCAAAGATTGACTGCAACTTTGAGAAGCAATGCTACAATTTACGTAACAAGGAAATAAACAATCTCCTCTTTGTCCTTGTGGAAAGACTTCAAAACCAACATCAAACGCAGTCCATTGTCTAACATATTCTCCATCTTCATTAGCATCATGCCTCACTGTAATGACTGATGAGGGGGAAATTTGTGAAGGCTCCATGTGTTTGTAACTGAAATCAGCTCCTTTGACACACAAATGGCAGCACCTTCTTGTGAATGTATAAAAACTGAATCTGTTAGACAAAACAGCTTCATGTCCAAATGTGAAACAAAAAACCCTGGCTTGGAGCAGATGAGAACAACAGCAAGTGAGGTCTCCATCTCAGCCTCAGTAACAACTTCAAGCAGATGGTAACAAAACTATGCAAGCATAACAATGTACATTTCTCAAAGATCATTTTCAACTCCCCCTGTCTTACTTGCATTTCGTCAAACTTCAATTGGTTCTTATGTAACCGTATATAACAGAGTAGAAAGGAGAAACCAGAAGAAATAGTGGACTAGTAGGTGGCTGAACTAAACTTATAAACCATGAAAACATCATTACTAGCCACCACAGAACTTTCTCCAGAATAGCAACAACTACATCCAACTGAATTAATCACACTGCAGCAGAGATCCGGTTGGTGGCTTAACAACAAGACTTTAAGCTTCTGTGATTAGAAACCAGAATCAGTTTATCCGAGAAGCACTCTCTTTAAAACAACTTGAATCCACGTGTGAGTATGAAAACATGATGTTTGTCCACACTAACAAGCTCTCATCAGTTCCATATGCAAGATTCTGGCTAAGACGAGCCAGAAGCATACATACGACATTAGATGGAACGTCCGGTGGTCTTGGAAATGAACCAAAGAAGAGCATCAACACTATCGGCAAATACAACCATGAAGTGTCTCTACACAGCTTATCATCAACAAGATACACTTCTGGTGGTTAAACAGAAGGCACAAAAAGATAAGGCATCGACGAGGGAGAATCCATCACATATACAGATTCAAAGATCAAGCTCAATCTAGGAGCTGAGATAGGCAAATCGGAGAAGAGAGTATAAAATAGAGCAATTGAGGAGAAAGTAGAAGCTTTTTTAAAAAGAAAGCACCAACAAGTAAGGCCGTGGATCAAATTGAGGATTCAAAGCCTAGCTATCTTCTCAATGAAGCAAGAACTGCGATCAAGGCTCTGGACCGAATACAGGAGTCAAGGCCACTTCCATTCAGGCGTGGCTATAAGGAGTAAGGAGCTTCCATTGATCGTTGAATGTGAAAAGATTGGCCTTGCTGAATGCTGAAGAATAAATATGTGTACAGAAACACTAAGGGTTTTATTCCTTTGTTATTCTTATTATTTCCATTATTAGACAGAAGTAATGTTTCTATTATTGGTTTGCTTGAGTTATTTGAAGTAACTTTTCATATCCAGAAAAGTGGAATAATGACGGTTTTTGAACATAACTTTAACTTATCAAGCATGATGATATACACAGAGTCATACATACAGATTCTAAATAGTAGTAGTCTAAAATAAAGTCACAACAATGACCTTTTATACTACTATACAAATCTTGACTGATTTAAGTTCACCTGATTTGCTGCGGCCGCTTGATTAACTTAAGTTGTAAGAGACTGCTTTGGTTAAGTTAGAGTCCTCAAACCCAAGCTCTTCTCCAAATCTTTTGCAGCCAATAGCACAGGAACCAAATTGACAGTGAATTGTTTTGATTTTTAACAAAAAAAAATTTAGATGTTACAAAATGTTTTTTTTTTCTTCTAAAAAATCTAAGTGTAAAATTTAAATACATTGAAAACAAACCTAACTTAACATCCTGTCTTTTTGGTCCATAAGTTTTGCTGTCATAATTTCGTCAAGTTTTTTCCGTATGGTATATTTAACACTTAGTTAAATTTTGGTCCGTAAGTTTTGCTGTCATAAGTAAATTATTTTGATTTTTTTAACTAAATTTTCGTTAGGTTTATTATTTTTTCGAGTATCTGGAAACATAATTTTGCGTATTTGAAGGCGTTACAATGAATCAAAGTTTTTCAATCTCTGAATATTAGTTAATGTGTTCTAGAAATTCTAGTTGTGATTTCGAGAAAGTAATTCTAGATATGTTCTTATTGATGATCATTTCAGTGTTATGTGTATTTTATCTACTCATTTTTACGGATAATCGAATTGGATTCTAAATGCTTTAGGTTTTCAGTTTTGGAATTGATGTTCTGTGTTTTTGCAGGTGTTTAACAATATATTGCAAATGATAAGAAGTCGGCATTATGAAATATATATGTTGAAAATTTGATAATACATCGATGAGAGAGTAAGAACACGAAAATATTATGACAAATTTGAATTAAACTCAACAAATAATTGTAACCTAAATGTAAACATATTAAGTGATAAAAGTAAAATTTTTTAAATAAGTTATTGACATTTGTCAACAATCTTCTATATTTTATGAATTATTCTATAATCATATATATCTTCATGAATTCTATATTTTTGTAATAATTTCGGTCGATCTCATCGATTTCCAATAGATCTAACTGACTAAATCTTTGTGATTAGTGCTCGTTCAGTCTTTGCACATGTTAATCCAATGCTTGGTAGGCTATTTTACAAACCATGTAGTCTAATCGGTGCATTTTCCTATCTCCACCACTATATCTATGCTACTTACTCGTTGAGATCTTTATCTATTATAAGATCTAATATAAGACTTGAGGAACCAGAGGATGAACCGGAGGAGGAAGGCTAGAAGACTGGCCATTCAGCAAGAAAAACAGCAAGCCAGCACCCAACCTTCCAGTCAAAATACAAAATCCAGAGAACACAAGATAAAGGAGAAGAATCCCACAGAGATAGAGAGTGGTGATAAGGAGGGTGATAAGAAGGGTCTTCAACGCTTAGCAGAAATGGTGCAGAAGATAGATGAAAAGATAGACCACTCAGAGAATACCATACAAACAGTTGTATCAAGTGTGAAGGAATGGTCTCTAAACAACTTCAATTCTGTAAATTCTCGGATTCGTCAAACTCAGGTAGAGTACGATTTCTTCTTAGAAATACAATCTTCAATATACAAAAATTTCTCTCAGTATTTCATAGATTATTGTTTCTTTTACAGGGAAGCATGTTGTCACTTTCTGAAGCATAATCAAATTTGAAGAAATTGTGTCAGAGCCACTTCGATTCTGTACATCACCAAATTCATCTTACTCAGGTATAGAGCGATCTCTTCTTCAAAATACAATCATAAGTAGCAGTCTTTCATAGTTTATTTTACAGAAAAACGTCTCGACACTTTCTCAAGCAATAAATGAAGAATTATCCCTGAGTCGTCAGAACCGCTCAGCACAAGCAGCAGCTGATGCAGCAAATTCGAGCCGGTTGATTTCCCTTGGTCAAGACTCCAGTCTTCGGATGTTGCAGTATCTAACCACAAGCATCAATAGCACCACCAGTGATATGCATGGTAAGGTAGGTTGTATGTCTGATTTGATCTTAGGAATGGACCCAAGCGACCGCAAGTTTGTTGACCGGGCTCAGCCAATCCTTCGACAAGCTGATCATGTTCTTGAGAGACTGCTTAACACAACACGGGGCAGCCCAGTTGCTATCATTCAGTCTCTCCGTGTCTCTCTCAAAGTGCTGCTGGTTGACGATGGTTTTTATGAGTTACTATAGAAAACTAAAAACTTTACATGAGATTCTGATGTTGAAGATGAATCAGATGGATACTGTCTTACTTGTTTCGCTAGTTTTGTTTAGTACTTACATATTTTGACTATCTTTTTCTCCTTCTGGTTGTCTGTTTTTTTCACACTGTCGAGTATGGTTTTATAATTATACCGATTCAAGAGTATGGAAGTGAGTTTCGAGGAGGCTCGGGAAAAGGGAAGACGAACAAGAATGTTGTTAGCCTTCTTTATAGTGGTAGAAACCACTATGATTTGTTTCGTTGACCAAATTATTTTGCCTATCACTCATTGCCGTTGACTTTATTGATATGATCAGAAAAACTGAAATTTTGTACCCATAATAACTAACAAGTGTCTGTGTATCACATAAGGAGATTGAAGATTATACACCTCCAAAACAACCAGGAGGCAAAATCTCGTTTCTATTCAGTAGAGTGTCTCAATCAATATACACTAAAAAGATTTTTAAGAATTTATAATATAAATTTTGGATTTATATTTTAGAATATAGGCTTTATTTTTAAAGATTTAAAGTTTAGCTTTAGTTCTCTCCTATGCTTTGTTTTGTTAATCACAAAGCTTTTTTTTTTTTTTTTGGTGTAAAAAACAGGAGTTAATCACAAAGCTTATAGAACACTTAGAGAGATTATCTTTGAATGTATACATTGTTAGTCTCTTTAGATCTCTTGGAGATGATTTAGTTTAGCCAATTTCGACATCTTTCTCCTTAATCTCTAATATACTTCTCTTACAACATTCCAACAAATTTATACTAATGCCTTATCCTTAAACCTAACAACTTTCTACTAAAAAAAACAAACCCAATTCTATTTGGGCTTTACTTATTTTTTGGCCCAATGGCCTCTTAATCATCCAATTGTGACCAAAGTCACACAATTCACTTCACGACACTTGTTCTAGTTCTCCATCATCTCCTCTTCGCTTCATTGAAGCTTCTTCTATTATGCTCTTCTTCTTCATCATCTTCTCACCTTTCTCCTCAGGTTTCTCTTGCATGTGACTAAGCAATTAATCAACTTCCAACACTAATTAATGGTACCGGCGGAGAAATTGAAGAATTTTGGCCAGCCAACTTCTCTTGAGCGTGTCGACTCTTCTTCTTCTCGTTCTTCGATCTCGTCTGCAACTAACTTTTCCTTCTTACTTTCTTTTTCCCATGCTTGATTCTTTGTGAAGGGTTAATCAAAGATGAGAAATTACCATCGTACTTGGTCGGAGAGATAATTTGTCGATTGCCAACGAAATCTCTTGCACGATTCAGAGTCGTAAGTAAGACATGGAACGCTTTTTGGGAGGACAAGAGTTTCTCGAAAAAGTACTTGGCTCGCACGCAACCTCAATTCATCATATGGACCAATTCCCAGATTTGTTCGGTAGGCATCAACGACGACGACGGCGATGACCCTAAACTTGAGGTACGTGATATAAGCTAATGCATTCCAATTCATAGCAGCTTAGGTCAATGCGATGGGGTCTTGTTATCTGGCATTAGGAAAAAAGGCTTAGAGGTTTGGAACCCCTGTTTAAGACGGAAGAGACTGGTAATGGTAGAGAATCACGACTTCAGGTTTTGTGGCATAGGGTACGACAACAGTAGACCCGAAACGAGTTACAAGTAAAAGATTCTCGTGTAAGTGGGGTCAAACATTTAGTATTTGGTTATTGGTTCCAGAAAAGAAGAACAATTATAGAGAGAAGTTAGGGCAAATGCTATTCGTAGACTCGTAGTACATTGTCCAGTTCCTTATTCCCCAAGTAATAATCCTTGTTGTATCAAGTTGGTTTTATTTATTTCAATTTTGTTACTAGGAACCGTTTTGAGCTTTAATGAGACGATGTTGTCTCTAAAGCTTCAAGCATCCTTTAAAGTAAAGTGTGTAGTTTGATTGCAAGACCATAAGTATTTTGTGGGTTCAAGAAGAAGAGGAAACATGGAAATGAAAGATCCATGATATAAAGAAGCCAAAAACCATACAAGCTAACACTAAATTCACCACTCTCTGTGGCTGCCACCTGTTCTCCACCACCGTTGCTCCTCCACCTCCTACCGCCGCAGTTTCCTGATCACTGTTTCTCAACTCTCTCTCTTCCATCGTTGACACAACCATTTCGTTCGCACCGCCAACGTTTCGGGCTACCGATTGGCAAATCTCGCAGATTCTGTTTCAATAAGATATGTTATTTTCTATTAAAAGTGGACAAAACTCTCCAGTGCATACTTATGATATAGAATAACTCACAGAAAGGTACGTGATTAAATGGCTAATAATTCTTTAGCAGATTATTTAAGCGCTTAAAGTAATAGTTATACTCCACATGATGTCATAGCTCTTTTGCTTTTTGATTGTAGAACTTATGTAAAATCATTTTTTAAAAATATTAAATAATTAAAGGTTTCTAAAATATTAACATAGTTACTTTGAGAAGCAAAAAAAAACATATGAAGGTATTATAACAGTGAATTTTGAGTGGTTTACCTACAATCATTTTTTATTTTAAATAGATAAAGAAAACTCTAGAAAAGAAAATTATTAGCTCTATAGCTAAAGAGAACGTAAGCTTCACATATTCCAATTTTACAAATAAAAAGTTTGACAAATTCCTTAAATCGAAATTAATTATTAAAGAATAAGTCAATAAAACATATACTGATTACTGAACAAAAACAAAAATATATATCTCCTAAGAATCCTAACAAAACAATTATGATCAAGTTAACCCATAACTCGAATATTAACGAAAACATTTTTTAGAAAAAAAGAAGTAATTTAAGAGCTCAAAATTTAGAAGAAGTAGTTAAATTACTTGTCGCCTTTGATCTTGAACCAAGTCTCAGCACATTGTCTATGAGCAACAGCCAAATCGTCTTTACACGAACACCCTAATTCAATCGCACCTCCACCGCTCGTTTCCACTCCCATATGACATATCCGACAATCTTTCTCCGGCGGCGCCGACGCATCATCATTATCTATCTCCGATGACGGACTCATCACCGACGACACTTTCCTCGACTGATCTCCTTCGTATTCATACGATCCTCCAGTCGTCGAATAGAAGTAAGAGTAGCATGACGCCAAATCTTCACCGTCTGAATAATAAACGCTTACTTCACTTCCGTCCAACGACCGCCGGTGATGATATCCAAAAGCTCCTCCTTGTTCTAAATCGATGTCCGTCATTATTTTGCCTTTTTTTATAATGCCAAAGTGAATAAATATGGAAATGAGAATAGAATTGAAGGGATTTAAGGAAGTAGGTTTTTGGTGGATTTGGTGATTTTAACAAAAAATATTAACTAAGAAAATTGAGTAACCAAATTGTAGGAGGAGTGAGTGAGTAGTGGTGGAGCAGGAATTCATAATAAGCTAAAAACAGAGTGAAAGTGAAAAACTATATTGTTAAGGAAGAAGATATTTTTCTACAAGATGAAGAATAAATTAATAGTTTTTTTTTTTTAAAAAAGAAGGTATTGTGAGAGAAAAAGAAAAAAAGAGAACAAGTTTTATATCTCAGTTTGTACCAAATTTAAGGGATGTTTGTTCGATTGTATCTAAAAACTAATTTCATAATTCTATAAAGGGATTCCTTGTATAAATATACAAGTTATGAAAACCCGAATCTATCCTTGGTTGTTTGTTAAGAAATAAGCATAAATATAAATCGCACAGGGGTAGTTATGTCATTGCAATGTAGATTTTCATGTTTTGGATACACTTTGACTCATTCCCGCATCCGACCAATTTTTATCACGGCCGGATTTGTTTTGTGATCTTTGATTTATTGATGGTACAAAGGCAAAATCTACGGTTTAAAATGGTACGTACTCTCTCCGGCGTTGAGGCATATTTTTGTGGACTTTGTTGTCTTCTTTTTTAGGAGTCTAATTGTCCGATCCAGTTATTTGATTTAAATTTGATGTTAATAACACACTTACACACCAGTAATCAAATTGTGGAAATTGGTTTTATAATTCGTAGGAAAACATGTATAGATCTTATCTGCATGGATAATAGATAATTCAGACAAGTTTTTTTTGAGTTTTATCGCATATATAATTGTACTTTATCTTGAATTGAATAATTTCAACTCTCTTCATTTACCATAATTTATTTTGGTATACCATAAAACAAGTATACTAATGAAAATATGAAATCATTGAAATATTATCACTCCAGTGATTATCTTATTCACTCACACTACCATATTTTCTTGCAGCTAGAATCTCTTACCGATCATTATTTTGTAATTTTCCTCATCGTTAGTCGGCAACTTAATGTCGATATATTACGCCAAACACAATTTTGAGAAACAAGATATGGCTATTTTGTGTTTGCGTCTGCACCATAACATCATATATATGCATATTTCCATTTTTTTTTATCACTCTCAGATTCTCTTGATTTTATTTTTGGTCCTCAAACTCATCCTCACTTCCTCCACATGAGGATTTATCACAACCTTATGAATGTCATACTCATACCACTAAAATCTTTAGTAAATCTAACGGTGTAATATTATAACAACACAAAAAAAAAAAAAAAAAAAAAAAAGCCGTATTATATAATGTTTCTAGTTAGCCAAGAGAAACAGATCTAAAACGCAGATTAAAATTTATTTTATGAGGAAGAAAGATATTTCAAACAAGCAAGGAATATCAATTTATTCTTAAAGCCATACAAATTAAAACTAAAAAGAAATAGGAATCTCATTTTCCACGTCAAAATGTTGAACCACCATGGACATCAAAGGAATAAAAGAAAGAAAGAAACAAAAAGGGTAAAACGAATTTTGATGGAAAATAAAATACAACAGTTTATCAAGTTGGTGGGTCTGGTTCTAATGACAAGACATACCTATTTTTTGTTTCATTTGAATCTTATATTTGGAATTTTCTTCTATCAAAGTGACAGATATTTTAAATATATTATGAGGTCATTATCTTTTCAAGGGAGGAGGTATGTACTAAACTACTAACTCAATTCAATTCATGAGATGAAGCATGTTGAATATTTGGGAGGTAGTAAAATTATCAAGCTCTGACGATTTGTTATTCGTATTCAAAGAACACCGAATATTTTACTGCTACTAAATATGATTGAATACCATTTTAACACAAAAAAAGAAAAGAAAAGAAGAATGAATACCTTTCACTAAGAATAAGTTCATTATATCATAGAACTCGACTATTTTTGCTTTAATGAACAAGCAACCCACAATTTTAAGAGAAATGAAAAGCTGTCATTGTTATACTTGAGGACATTTACAAATACTGCAAATCATTTTGTCACTTATAAGAAATTAAAATATTAATTCAACAAAATTATTCAATGTAAAATTCCAAAATGTGAAGAATTCTTACGTACATTTTGTAACTAGGACACATGAAGGTAATGTTAAAAACACCTCGTACGAGTGTTACTCATATATTCTGCCCAATTTCTTTTTTCTTTTTTTGACTCTTATGTTTTGTTTGTTAATAAACATGGAAAAGGACAACACAAGTAGTTGCTCTGTCTCAACAGTTTCATGTTCAAAACTGGAAAAGTTGTTTACACAAGACCAGAAACTGGAAGTATTTGAATCATATGTTTTGTTCAACAGAAAAATTTGGCTGGTGGCCCAAATTAGGTGGACAGAAAATAGTGAAGAAGCTGGAGAAGTACTTGGTTTGATTCAGACAGTTTTGGTGGTAAATCAAACAGAGACATGAATTAAAATAACAAGTTAATTCTACTTTTATCAATAGTTATGTAGAGAATTGAGCTACCAAAAACTATACTAACTTAACAGGAGATAATTAATAATGTATATAACTTACATTTAGAACTAGTCAGGAGCTCACCAAAGGGCTACGTTCTCACAATATATTCAAAAAACGATCTAAGATAATGTTGAACCTCTCAAAATGCATAGAAGCGTGGTGATCAACTCGGAGAATCGAATCAGTCAATTGTGACTCTCTGTCTGCAATTCTTAGCTGCAGATAGAAGAAAAATTGTCATGATAGGAATAAAATATGCATGATGAGATCACAGTGAGAAAGAGCAATTACCAGGACTTAAGATTTGTAGACATTTTGTTATGGACTTTACAGTAGTCATAGAGTCAGATCCTGCAAATTGAAACAGTAAGAGTTTAGCAGTGAAAAAAGCTATAGGAGTTTTATATCTAAAATATTAAGTGAAGACTGGACAAACACACCTTGTGTGTTCATGTCTTTCCCTTGAATCATTTCTGTTACTGTTGATGTATACTCTGATACAACCTGATCAGGCTCTAGATTCGTGTTTCTTGATTCAGGAGATGACCTGTCATTCAGAATTGGATCTAATAAGTAAAATGGTAGTAGATAATTGGAATTTTCAGATGGTTACTAAGCCAAAAGAGAAGAATATACCCTGAAGCATTCTCTATGTGGAAATTTGATGGCTGTGGTAGGCAAGGGTCTGGCATTCCTTCACAACCAAGATCGAAATCGACTAGTAGCTCCGAAAATGAAAAGTCTTCACTCAGAAGATCTATATTTGAGAAATCTATGTCAAATAAATCAGCTTCTGCTTCAGAGCCAGATGAGGAAGTTGAAACTATATCCGCAGTGGCAGGTGCATCTAAGTGCATTGTGGCTTCAGTGTCATCGAAGTTGAGCCTTCCTTTCACATGATCTCTTTTACTCGACATTTTAAGATTAGACTTTACCGGCGAAAAAGAAGAAACCGTATGGCTCCTTTCCACTGTATAAGAAGCAATTTGTTTGAGAGGACTGACTGTGATTCTCTCCTTAGTAACAATTGTGCAGTTTGTAGGAGTAACTTCTTTATCACTCTGAGGAGATACTTTCTGTTGTGGTGTCCTTGGACAAGCTGAATTGGTCGGAGGAGACGTGCCTGATTTGTCAAACAAACACTTTGCCACACTTGATGTAAGATCAGACGACTCATTAGCTACACCGTTGTTCACCGGCGTTTGCATTTCAGATGGTGTTTGAAATGTCAAGTAATTAGTCACCTTATCAGCTTGTGGCATCTTTTTCATACCTGGATTAAGAAAAAGAAGACACAAAAGCAAGTTTAAGGATAATGAAGATTGAAGACTTATAGGCATCACATCAATGAAGTACATATAAAGAATAAACCGCAGTACAACTACCTTTCCTAGTAACAGAAGGAGCTCCTAGAGAAACTTCAGGACTCTTTCGCTTTTTGGTTATAGACTGACTGATACAAGGTGCTGTGAAATTCCCAACTCTTTTGTTTCCTGGTAATGATACTGGCATAACATTAGCTGTGTTGTACACAGTGCAGCCTGGAGATAAGAACATGTCATTAGTTCCAGATAACATCAACCAAAATCAACTTATATATCATCTTTCCAGTGAAAATTCTCTGCAATCAAATCAACCAATTAGCAAATTTGGTGACCAAGTCAGTTATCTTGAGCACAAAAAGAAACTCTATCTGCCTATAGTCTATTGCAATTGAGTACACAAATGCAAAACCAACATGAATGCTAGCTAAACAACACCAATCAGCACAAAATGCGACTCTATTTGCCTATAACCTATTTCAGATCGCTTCAATCTTAAACTCAGAGAATGTGACAATCAAGATCAACACAAACCAAAATAGTAACAATTTTAGTCTCAGAATCAACCAAAAGCAGTAGTAATCTTCAATTACCTGAAGAAGAGACACCGAAGTTGTTCTGTATAGAACTTGAAGCAACCACTTGGACCTCCTTTGAAGCTGCGGCCGCAATCGCCGGAGGAGGAGGAGGAGGAGCTGCGATGACGGTGGAGTTATAAGCATTCATCACATCTTGCATCCCATTCAATAGATTCTGAACTCGAGTTTTCTCTTGATCCAGTTTCGTTTTCTCCTGATCCATCATCATCTTCTCCTTCTTGAGTCGAATATATTCGTTCAAAATCTCATTCAAAGGTAACAAACTATTCGGAACCTGCGAAATCAAAAAAGCTGTAAGACTCTCACTAGAAGATGAATCAAATTGAGAATTTCTACAGGTGCTTACTTCGCGAACTGGAGAATTAGAGATGAGAGAAGAAGCTTCAGATCTGAAAAGAGATCGGGTTTTTAAAAAGCGATTATCGCAGAGGTATCGATCAACGAGGAAGGCGACTTGAATCGGAGTAACTTCACCATTGCCTATTATACGCTCTGAAGTCTTGGATCTGTTTGATTTCGCCATTTCTTCGAAACCCTAAAGATCGGAATGCGAAGAAGCCAAGGATAGGGAGAAGATGATTAGAAGAAGAAGGTAAAAGGAGTAGCGGGAGATTTTGGAACGGTTTAATTCGATTTTGCCGGGAGATTTCTTGTGGCGGGTTAAGCCAAATTTTTTCTAAGGGACAAAATTGGAAATCAAGGTATGTTAACTTAACCGTTCGATTTTAAGATTTTTTCGCTGGACCGTCCGGTTTGGGCTGGTTTGTTGGTGGTTTTTTTTTTTACCAGAATAATGGCTTTTTCGGTAAGTCTCTTTTAAAAAACTGGTGAGTCTAAATTGTAACCAATCGATGGTTGTTTTCGTTTTAGTCATTTTTTGTTATTTAATTGACATCTGATAGTTTTGAGTTAATTTCAGTTTCGTATGCCTTTATTATAAATAAGGTTTTGTCTCCGAAGAAATCTCATTGTATGCTTCAAAGTTCTAACAAATTTTTAGATGACTTTTAGCACAAACCTTTTTTAGATAAACTGCTTTGAAGTTGTAAGTTAAATTAGAGTCATATTAATCACATCAAGTTACTAATTGCATCAGTCCATCTCGTTTGCAGTTCAGTTCTATCTTTCCAAGTCGCTAACCATATAGTCATATTCCTTAGGAATGTGTTGACGCTATAACAAATTAACACTATTCGTTGATTATCAGAAATACAAGCAATTTCTAAATTCTAACATCTAGTCTTAAAACCATTTCTACTTCAATTGTATGTGGAATAAATTTATATAGCATGGATGTTTAAGCGAATCAAAAACCCAAAAACCAATATTAAGAACAAAACAACAAGCAATTATCATAAACCCTATAAATTTAATTAGGCTTAATACCAGATCTCAGCGTTTTCTGTTTAGTGTCTGCAACTCCTATTTCGGAGATTTTAAGATAGATAACGCAGTATTTCAATAGACATCATCGATCTGATTCTAACCAAAACCAAATTTAAAACAAGTGATTATAAAACATTGGATCTCAGGTTTTTCATGGTTTATCTTCAAATCCTTTATAGAGATTTGCAGAAAGATAACGCAGTATTTAAACTAATCAATCACCGATCCAATCCTAACACGAAGCAAAATCGAGCATTGAATCACACAGAAGACACAAAAAGTAAAAGAGCATCTCAGAAATCGAAAACCCCATTTGTTTCTTCACTAGCAATCAAAGTGCAAGGATAACAATTTTTTCATGGATTCATCACCGATGCTCTAATCAAAACACAAACCAAAAGAAATCAAGATCGAATAAGAAAATCTATAAAAAAACTAGCTTAATCAGACAAATCGTCGAACAGATTTTAAGATTCAATAGCTCGAGAAAACTATTTATACAAGCCGCCGAGGAAAAAACAAAAGGACAAAACCCTAGTCTTCTGTTTGGTAACAGAGATATCTTAATTCCTCATTAGGAAAAGACACACTAAATCCTTTCAAAAGCTAACTACGTGGAACCTGAACCTCCACGTAATGAAAGAAACCTCTGACTCTGAACCACAAAAACCAGTAACGTGTCAAACTACTTCTGTAAATTTAGTCATAAAGCAAATTATTAACCATGACGCGTCTCTGATTTTTCAACCAAAAAAGCCAAAAATTCGATTTGAGTTTATCATATCTTCTTCTATAAATAAATTGAAATATTTATATTCACATTACCTTATCAAATGCTAACCACACGTTTGCGTTTAGTAACCGAAAGAACCAAACTGATAAATACTACTTCTCCTATGGGAATAGTTTTTGGTACAACTTACATAATGGGAATGGTTTTTGGTAAAATCGTTGTGGAGACTCCTAAATACACGGTGACTAAATCCGGTGATGGTTATGAGATCCGTGAATATCCACCGGCGGTTGCGGCGGAGGTTACATACGATGCGTCGGAGTTCAAAGGTGATAAAGATGGAGGCTTTCAGGTTTTGGCTAAGTACATAGGTGTGTTTGGCAAACCGGAGAACGAGAAGCCGGAGAAGATTGCTATGACTGCTCCGGTGATCACGAAAGAAGGTGAGAAGATTGCGATGACAGCTCCGGTGATTACTAAGGAGAGTGAGAAGATTGTGATGACTTCTCCGGTTGTGACTAAGGAAGGTGGTGAAGGAGGGAAGAAGATGGTGACGATGCAGTTTTTGTTGCCGTCGATGTATAAGAAGGCGGAGGAGGCGCCGCGTCCGACGGATGAGAGGGTTGTGATTAGGGAGGAAGGAGGGAGAAAGTATGGTGTAGTTAAGTTTAGTGGTACGGCGTCGGATAGTGTGGTGAGTGAGAAGGTGAAGAAGCTGACTAGTGATCTTGAGAAAGATGGGTTTAAGATCACCGGAGATTTCATTCTTGCTAGGTATAATCCTCCATGGACGTTACCACCGTTTAGGACCAATGAGGTCATGATTCCTGTTGAATGAATGATCCAAAGTTTCCAGCTTTTGGTTTCAAGAACTTGTTTTTAGTTTGTTTCACTGTGTTTGTAGTTGTAAGAAGCATAACAATAAGGTATACAATGTGAGCTTTTGAAGTTAAATACTATAGAATGAATTGCTTATGAAGTTGCAGAAATGTTTGGATTGAATTTATTCAAGAAGGGATTTGATCATTTTAACCGGAGAAAAGCTTAAAGACGATGACAATTAAGTTAAAGAGCATAAGAGGAAGCCTCATGTAATGGCAGGCGTGGATGAGACCGATGATTTGGCCTTTGAGGGAGTTTCTTTTGCCGGTTTGGTGGAGTTCTGCAAGCGTCCATCCTTTGGGAGCTAGAAAACGGTCTTCGTTGAGAATAGCCAGTGCGTTTGCAAATAGCAGCAATCCTTCCATTAGTGTCCAGAACCCCATGATTTCTCTGTGGAAACTGGAAAACAATCAAGAATTATGCGGAAAGAGCGGTAACATATATTGTTTGTAAGTAAACATGGATTCATTTGTGGTATCACATACAAGTGGACAAGGATGAGCAACTACAGTGGTTTTGAATATTTGATGTTCTGAAAGATAGAGAACTCTTAGCTTAGGTTTGTACCTAAACGTTCTCAGAAGAAAGCAAAGAAGGTAGCAAGGCAAAATCTTGAATCTAACAATTAATGAACAAGAACCGATTGCAATACTACTTATAAAGCTCTGCAGTGATCTAGGCAGGTCCTAGTTTTCATTATTTGGTGTCTTGAAAGATAAAACTGTTTTCCTGTGTTTCAGTGTTGTCTTGAAATTGCAAAAAGAAAAACCTCAGACCACCCATTACCATCAAACCAACTAGATTCAGAAACTAGAGTAATCCAACTTCTCTCTAAATAGTTAAATCAATTCGATTACCACAATCGTAAGTTTAGTTTCATCGAAAGATCCAAGATTTCTAGTAAAATCCAAGCCAGCTGATTGATTGATTGATCTACCTAAAGAAATAAAACCCAAATCTCGCAACCAGATTTACCAGAATCTAGGAACGATTTCCAGAAAAAAGGATCGATTTTTTCATCAAAAAATTCAAAGTTCAATTTTTTTCCGGGAAAGTGTCACCTCGCCGGAAATGAGCAGTTGGAGAGAGAAGCAGAGGAAGAATGGTGGGAGAGAGATACTTACAGGTGATGAAAATCGAATTGGTGAGATCTTGTTGAAGAGACGAAGCCAACGATCTGTTTTTTCACATTCTAAACTTTTTTTAACCATCATTGAAGAAAAAACCATAACCGGGTTTTTCCAAAGGGTTGACCCGGTTTGAATCTATTCGGGTCAGGACCCGATCACATGGCTCAGTGAACTTGAAAACAAAACATAAGTTAAAAGTTCCCATTGGCTCTATCCTCTTATCTCTCTGTGGGACAATGGATTTTGTTATCAAGAAAGCAAGGAACCATGTATCATGTATAATGAATGTTTGAGGTCACTATAATAACAACAAATACAAAGAATAATGTGATTTCAAAGGATCAATCATATCTCTATTTAGATTTCTAATAGAAGCTGCTCTGAAGAGACACAAAGGACAAAAAATGCTATATATCTTTGATGCTCCTGTATGTATGGTTGAAATGGATTCTACACATTTGTAATGATCTTCCAAGATATCGTCTTCTTCTTTTTCCTATATTGTACAAGAAGGCTAAAAAAAGGTTTGAATCAATGTTGTTGTATTGTGTTCACTGTGTATTTTCTTCTATCTTCAAGCACTCTTCTTCCATCTATCTGACTCTCTTGATTTCCAGAGTTGCTCAGGCTGAGATTTGTTACATATGCAATCTGGTTGTGGGTTCGCGTAGAAATTCTCCTCTAGCCGAGGGAATTCACCGGGGTGTCTCGCATATGGCGCTCCAATCCTGTTGTTATGTAATCTCTTTACTTCTGATGAAAACTCATCCCAAGACATTACACCCTCGTCTAAATGATCTATCAGTCTCACAAAATTTAACCTGCCATTCACACTCCATATCAGGGAAAAACTTTTAAAGAAGGCAATTGTACAAAGGAAATAATAATGATTGATTCAAACCTGTCTGGATTGATAGTCTTCTTAAACCCTTCAAATCTACGGTGTCCTTGTACCGCCTTAGCCATATTCCCATCATATGTATATACAAAAACATCGCTTTCAAGTGCTACAATGTAATCCAAAGCAGCCAGGCGGTTCTGGTATGGCTTAAAGGGCTCTAACTCTTCTTCAGTTGCTAAGGTTGAATGATCGAAGACGTTTGGGTACTCTTCTCGAAAAGCATCCATACTGTTTCCTCCATAGATTTCACCAGCAACTATGTATACAGTCGTCGAGGATGGATATCCCATTGCCTTTAGAAATATGGCTGCTTCTCGAGGAGACATCGGGCAACCGCCTTGAATCCGCCTCTCTCTGCTGTCAATCTCTTTCTCCTTCCAATGTTTAACATTGTACCTCATTATTCTCAGCTCTTCAGCTTCTCCAGCTGTGAGATTGTGGCTGCAGCCTGTAAAGGCAAGCATATCTTTCTCGTATCTGCATTTCAAATTCTCATTTTAACCAACCTGTGTCCCGAAAAATGAAAATGAGGGATGCAAAAAGAAACATCACAGTACCTCAAGTGCAGAGCAATGAAGGGCTCACTGTTGTTTCGTAACCGGTTAACCAGAACTTTCCCAAACTCCTCAATCTCCTTGGAGTACCCTAATGCCTGGTAATTAGCACGACATCTCAGCCGTTGGATTGATGGTGGCAAGCCATTGTTGGCCAGGCGCGAATCGGTGTGTGTGAACTTTACCACCTTATGTTTTTTCAACAGCGGTAACATCTCGCTTCTGTAGTAACTAGCCTGCGTAAAGCACAAAACTTTTAACCACAAAAGCTGCTAAAATCCGTTGTAGGGAATGGTAGAAACAATGCACAGACCTTGGACCAAGAAACAGGAGCCTTGAGGAGAGGTCTCATGGCTGCATATCGGGGAGGTAAGTACTCGACAATGTCAACATCATCTTTCAATACGTTCATGAAGTGTCTCCAGTCAAAAATATCTTTGAAAGTACTGCAAATTACAAAGAATATCTCTTCAAATTCCATTTCTTTTCTTGGAGAATATCTTGTTGTGTAGAGTAAATAAGATAAAACCTGGGGTCAGTCCAGAAAGATTCATGGTCGAGGAGAGGTAGAACAAGAGTAGCATTCATAATCTTTGCTGCAGCAACCATGTCACATATCTGCATTTTATTCAAAAACCAATAAAGAGAGGTAAGAAACACCAGAGATCAAATCTTTGTAAAATGCTTAAACATGAACTCACCCCAGTTCTCATCTGATTCAATCCGCCATTCGCGTGTACTAAAAGATAACCATTGGTTTTCCTACTTAGCCCTGAATCACACACAAATTTCAGAAAACCTGAAACTGCAACTCTTGTTTAAAGAATCAGAAAATGCAAGATACTAGCATTACTTGAACGGTTCTTAGGACGTGACGCACACTGGCGATAATTTCCGTTTTCAGGTTTCTGCCATATTTCCGGAATCTGTAAACCGCCAAATCATCAGAAAATCAAGTCAAACAGATTAATGATTTTTGGCTTCATACGTTTGCAGAAGAAGTTCACAAACACAGAAAGTTAAATCTTAGTCAAAGTTCATAAATTGCAATCATCCCAACAACAAATGCATTCTTTGGAACTTAAAACACAGGAAAAACGTTGCAAAACCAAAAGAGACTTAAAACATTAAAGATCATTCCTTTTAGTATCCAACAAGAATCAAAGGGTCACCATCAACCAGAGAGACAAAATCTGAGACCTTTTCGAATGATTATTCAATAATGCATCAGTTGAAGGATTCCAGCAACATAATCGAAGGTCAATGGAAACTGTAGAAAGTAGTAATCCATACCAAACAAAGGCTGCTCAAATTCATTTGACTAATTCTCGTCAAATTCATATAACTAATCTCAGAAAAATGCAAACGAATTATGATTCGTTAGGTTAATCTATCAGTGACGCAATCATTAGAGATATTCTGAGAATTACACGTTGTATCCTCTACGTCCCCTACCCCACTTTGTTTTTTTTTTCTATTAGAATTTTCCCGAGAAAAAGACAGAAAAATAAACCGCGAATTTCCGTTAAAATCCGATCTTTGACCCAAAAAAAACTCTTCAACAAAGTTAAGAAAACAGAGGAAACTTTAGCTCATAAATGATTTCTGGGTTTTGATCATAAAGCTCAAAACTTTTTTCCCATCAAAATCAAAAACAGAGAGAAAATTCATCACACATTGATAAAAACAAAAACTGATCACAAGAATTGATTAATCACTTGACGAACCCAATTTCTCTGTTTCTCAATTGGGCATCGATCAGAATAATCTATATAGCTAAAATTTTGTTTTTTTTTTTTTTTTAATTTTGCAAAATTTAATGAAGAAGAAGAAGAAGAAAACTCACGGGAAGCTTCTCAATGACGACGTTCTCCGTCATTGCACGTTGAGCCATTGACCAATCTTCGTGTAACGTCCGTACGACGACGAGCTCGTTCAAATCTCTCCGGTGTGCTTGGTCAACGACGCGCCCACTCATGAGAGAAACTCTAAGGAAGAGAGAAGCGACGACGAGGATCATGAGAAGACCCAAGATCCGACGACCCATGTTTCTCCCTGAACAAAAGAACCATCCTTGACCCACCACAGCCGTTGATCCACCACCGTCGAAGAGAAACGGTAACCGTAGTTTACGGAGGAGAAGGTACCGAATCGTTGGATGATGATGGTAGTGATGATCGTGGTGGTAATGAGATCCGCTAGAGGAGGAACCAATTGAGGAAGGTGAAGAACACGCGCCGCCTTGTAAACCTGTTTCGCCGTCGTCTAAATCCGGCGAGACAGCGATGTTAACTGTGTTATTATTGCAGTAATCGGATGAAATGGAAGGTCGTTCGGAGGTGGTTTCTAAAGAATCTCCGACACGGCGGCGTGTGGTGGTGGTGGGGGCTGTGATTGGTGCAACAGCCAAAGGGCTTGCACCGGCCGCCGACATATCGCCGCCTGAGAAGCAAAATCAATCTCCGGAACAGCGCCAAATTGAATAAAGGATTGATTTTTTATTTTTTTTGAGAGAGAGAAATACAAAAAAAAAAGGTTGGTTTTTTTTTTGTTAGTTGATGTTTTGGATTTAGAGGGTTAGTAGTGGTTAGGCATGTTATGGTTTTTTTTGGGGTTTGTGTATTAGGGTAGCCACCGTGAGATTCGGCTTGTGCTTGAGAGGCGTCGAAGCTTTTTCTAATCTCTCTCTGTTTCGGCTTCATGTCTATGTGTTTGTGTAATTTATATATAGTACAGATTTATGTTTGTTTGTGACTTTGTGTGTGGGGCTTTTGCTAATCATATGCTTTTTTTTTTGGGGTTGATTTTACATTCTTTAATTTATTTATGAGTAATTCCCAATACAAAACATTAACATACAATACTGTATGTTTCATTGCAAATCAACTTCAATTATATAATTATTTGGTATATAAGAGTTTTTCCAAGTTTAAGCATGTCATATAAATGTGGATTTTAAATTTTTGGGAATAGATAATACCCTAAACATAAATGTTTACAAAACTCCATATGTTAATTTCGTCATTAGAGACCTTATTTGTAAAATTTCTTATATTTGTCTCTTCTTATTTCACCGTGTGTGCAATAAACACACAAGGTTATAGGCCAGAGATGGAAGAGAGTGCAATCTCCTTTAGCGTCTTTGCATGAAAATTCGTTCATATGGTCGCATTCGCATAGAGAAAGATTATAGCAAGACTAAACGTGTTAAACAAGATTAATTGTTTTTTTTTGGGGTAAATTCTTTCATATTGGTAGACCTGAGGACAGTTTCACTATATATAATGCACCCTCTATAACAAATACATCAAATCTTATCATTTAAAAAATCAACAAAACTTTTATATTTACCATATCTTAAAAGTATAGTTCTAAGTTCTAATTCTAAACATATCCCACAACAAAATGGTTGATACCCGATCCACTAACTCTCTCTCTCTCTCTCGCCACACCTCGACATGTGCCACTCCACACAAGTCGTTCGTTTACCCTTAATTATTAATCTTTTATTTAGAAAAATGAACAATCCAACTTAGTTGCTATCATTACATGTTTTTTAAAAGTATTATCTTGTCTTTAAATGTTCAGGTTTAGCTAATTTTTTTACACTAGAAATTTTAAAACGTACAAATTAACACTTGATCAAGATGTATCATGTGGGGCAAACCTTAGATTTGCCGCAAATATAATTGGACACGTAACCCTAACCAGATACATCAGCCTCCTATCGCCTGCTACCACGTGGATACATTCCAAACACATTCCGGATCTCAAGCCGGTCGGCAAAAGCACCAGCGTAAAATTCGTCTTCTGCATCTTCTTTGTGCCTTGATGGCCGTTGGATCTGAATCAGACGGCCGATACACGATCTCTCTCGAATCTTGATCTTACATGTGAGCTTGTCATTTGCTTAAGTCAAGTACAAAAATCATTTGTATATCTTTTGGACGAGGTATACAAATTTGTTGTACCCAAAAAAAAAGCTAAAATCATATTGATTTGGCTGTTTAGTGATGTTTTGAATGTTATGAAAGTATGTTTTACTAGTTGATCGTCGTCAATTATTTTTCTATGTAAACAGATTTTTTGGATGTTAATTAATAATGTTAGAAATGAATTGTCGGTTGTAAAACTTCAATTTTTCTGATACATGATACAATGAATTACTAAAAACATGATGGTCTTCGTTTTATAAACTAGATTTCGTTTGTGAATTAACCAGCGTATAGAAACGGTAGCATTGTATTTCTTAACGCAAAAATGCAGTTACAAGAAGAAACGTAGAATATTTGGTTTCATATGAAATCTCTTGTTTATGGAACATGTATGTGTATATTATATATATATAAGAAGTAATTTAAAAAACTTGTTTGGTGATATATTTGGTTCTTTCTTGAAAAAATGGAAGAACTATTAGCGTATATAACGATATAATTATGAAGACACTTAGACACGGCATATTCTTCTTCAAAAACTAAAAGTGAAGGGCAACAATTAGTAGAAGAATTATGTTGAAATCAAGCGTTAAACAACATAAGATTCAAATGTGTATCTCTGCTGCATTGAAATGATTTATTTGGAAAATGATCGTTGTAGGAGTAGAGAGCACATAACGAAGACATAAACACGCGAAAGTCGGTGTGATTAGATAGGATCATTGCTTTACTTCTTTGTACCTTCGATCATGTTCTTGTATAATCAAGATTCGTGAAGAAGCTAAATTTTCACATGTTTTTGTTCTTCTAATCAAAAAGTTGAATCATCTCTTATTGTAATTGAGGATTAATGAACGGTTTGAAAGAATCAACCAAAACTCACCAGATCGTGTTATTGAACCAAAACCAAAACTCAAGGTTAGCCACTAGTCTCTAAGATAACGTCGTGGACTCGTGGTATATGCGTGACAAAAAAAACATTAAAAAGGCGAAAAAAAACAAAAAACATTAATAAATATTAAGTACTTATTTGTTTAGGAAAAAAGTATAGTACAAAATTGTAAAAGTTTGAAAGTTGTAAGGATGTCTTAGCAAATTTCCGTTATTTAAATTGGAGAGAGAGAAGGAGGTTTTACTCAAAATATCGCAAAACCCTAAGAAAAAAAGTTTCTTTCTTCCTTCCTCCACTCTCAATTCCAAAACACTGCGCCGGGAAGACATGGAGACCGAGATGGAGACAGAACAAATATACCAGGTCGATGTCGGAAATCTCTTGGCTTTCAATCCCAATCACCGCTTCCCTTCTGCTCCTTCTTCAAGGTTTGTCCTTTCTCGTCTTATCTATCTTTCGTGAAGCTTGTGTTGAGTTCTTCGGTGGCGGCGGCTTGATTTTATATTTGTTTAATCTTTATTTAGTTGATTTGATGTGGGTTTATCTTCATACTTGTTGTAAACTTTTTGATTGCTGAATTAAGAAAAGTAAAGTATGGATTTTTCGTATGAGTGATTATTAACAAAAGCTTTGATTTCTAGTTAAGTGTTTCTTTTTGCTGTTTAAAAGTGGATATGGATTTGTGAAACTAGCTAGTCTGCGAGACGAACAGTAACCCTATTTGTCATGTTACCTTCTCTGTATCTGTTTTGGATTAAGATTAGTTCGTTTAAGAGATGCATTTCTCTAAACATCAATCTCGGAAGTACAAGTTAAATATCTTAAACCTTGACCCAATTGAAAAGGTTGTGTCTTTTAGCCACCTCTCTGAGTGTTGTTTAAGAGATTTGGGAGTTGAACATTTTTCTCAGTTACATTTTTCTGTAATTAGGAAACAATGCTTTGTCGCTATCAATACAATATCGTCTGAGTTTAGTTACTTGTTTCTGTTGAGAGTTTGTTCTGTTTCTGTTATTGATGACTGTTTCTCCCATTTTTATATTAGGGAGGAGCTTGTGAATGAGTGCATTAGGGAGGGAACAAAACTTGTTCAGGCAATAGCTAATACTCTTTTCAACTTTCCTTCTACTGAAACTAATGATGGTCCTATTGTCCAATTGCCTCCGCCTACAACCAAACTTCCTAGAGAGAAACATGTAAGATCTTCCAGTTTGAAATGCAAACGAGTGGTTTCTTACAAGGGTGTTCATATTTTTGAATGTACTAAAGCATGCTAACCTTCTCCTTTTTTTTTTTCAGATTCCAAGGCCTAAGCCTCCTACAAAGTGGGAAGAATTTGCGCTCAAGAAAGGTAAAACTGTTTGAGAAATTGTTTTGAGGATAGCAAGTTTGATTTTGTTCAGATTTTGATGGGTCGACGACCTCTGTGTTCTATATAGTTTGAAGGTACTAATGTTTATTTGGTTTGAAATTGTTCTTGGTTCTGTTTCTTAGGTATACAGAAGCGCAAGAAGGATAAACTTGTATATGATGAACAAACTGATCAGTTTAAGCGCCGCCATGGTTACGACCGTGTTAACGATGATAATGATGTTCCCATCATTGAGGCAAAGGCAACAGATGGTAGGTCTATGAAAAAAAACTATCTTATCTCTTTTGTTTTGCGGCATCTAGATTATGTTGTTAGAGACAATGTTGAAATCTAATCTCGTTGAGTGTGAAGACAAGGATATGGAGTTGCGTTACAGTATTTTTCTACTATTTATGAAAGCTTTTGGATAATTGCAGAACCAGGAGTAGATCCTTTTGCCAAGAGACTGGATGACAAAAAGAAGAGAGTTGGAAAGCAAGAAAAGAATCGACTTCAGAATTTGAAGGCAGCTGAAAAAGCTGGTGCTTTACCAAGGTAAAACAACTTCTTTGATCGGTATTGCATATGTTATCCTTGCTTGAGATAGCATACCGATATAGTTGCTAAATTTTAAGTTTTATCTGACGGGAAGAAATTGAAGTCACTGCTAGCTCCATATAGGATTTCTTTTATGAGTTTAAGCTTATTTGCTGGTTTTTGTCAACGTATAGTTTCAGTTTTTGAGTTGACCTGTTCCATTTTTATGCGCAACGCGGGGTATCATACCACATGATTCATGCTTTTTGAAAACTGAAGATCTAACTGGGTCAACATTATTTGCAGCCATGTTCAACTTGCTGCAACATCGTTGCCCATATCAGGAACGAAAGCTCAACCAAAGAAAATTGGAAAGGATGAACTTGGAGACGTAGCAGGTTTAGCCGCTACTTCAACCGCTAGTGGTGGAAAATTCGATAAAAAGCTGCCTGGAGAAAAACCTCCTAAGAAGCAGGGCAAACATCACAAGGTAACTCAGCAATCTTTTCCCTCCTTTGGTTAAAATTTTCGACATGTACTAGGGGATTACTAAAATGACTATATCTGTTGATGCTATTTGTGGGATATTTGCAGTATTTACCGGTTGTTGCAGGGCGCGGGGATGCTAACGCAGAAAAAGAACAGACAAATAATGTACTCAGCAAGATATTCTCAAAGCATTCGCATGAGATCCTCAATGTTGGCAAGGTAAAACCAATATACTTCTCAGCTCTCCTCTCTGGTTTGGTCTATTGCCTATGATGTTTGTATGTGAAAAGATTGTGTTAATCTGATGCATATTATTATGATTTAGGCGATAAACATGTACAACGTCAAGAAGGAGAAGAAGAAGTCAGGAAGGTCAGACAAGTCAGGAAGGTCGGACAAGTTGAAACCTAAGAAGGACATCACCAAGAAGTCTGCCAACAAAGCCAAGTGAAGAGACTCTCCCATGTCTAATTTACTCTTCTATCTGTCTCCATCTTCTTCTATCACTAAACAAATTTTGGGTTCCGCCTATCTGGTAGAGAAATACTTTATATCTATGGTATCTTTCAATCGTATCAATTTCATTTTTCTTTTTTTTGATAAAAACTTATTGACTTCATTTTGCACCATACAACAATTTAAAGCTCACAAAGGTCTAGAAATCCAGTCTGATTTTCTCTCTAAAGCTCTCAATCCACAATACAATACAATAGTATACAAACCGCATTTACTGCTCTGTATACAGGCATTCTTGTTTGTTTCTTTACACCCAAGTAGACAAGAAGAAAGATCAATTCTGGTTTTTCAAACCTTTAACCACTCAAGACAAGGACACAAACCCCAACAGAACCTTGCTGGGTAATAATCTTTCAAGTATATCTCTTTACCAAAACCGATTATGTAAAAGCTGAACGCTTTACCACGATCTTCCATGGTGACACGAGTGACAGGCACAACAGATATGGTGTGTCTCTCGCAGACCACATTCGCCGTCGGTGGAACTTCAGCTCTTAACGAGATTACTTCTGAGGAGAATCTGTTGAGGAAATATGAGTCTGCAAAGTAAGCCGGCGTGCACTGGTAAGCTTGTGTGTTGCAAAGCTGAACTCCTTCTGCTCTGTCAAATACTTCTTCTGGTACTGAACCAGCCCCTCTTGTTGCACTCACCTTTCGCTTCGACAAAGTCTTCCTGTCAAAGCCCGAAAACAAAAACCAAATCTTTAAATTGCCACTCAAAGCTATATGTCCTAAGAATTTGTAAACTTACCATCTTACAACTGCGATACTGCTTGTCAAAAGAGATCCAGTACTGTTACAAGTCTGACATTTGATTAACCCGCGAGATTGGCAAGTTGGGCAGGGAAGCTTTCCCTTACCGCTGCAGTTTGTGCATCTACGGAGAAAAGAGAGTTCTCTGTAATTAGAACCACATTTTTCATTTTGCAACCATCAAAGTATAAGTTGAGTTCTTGATATGAACTCACATTGTGTCAGACCCATCTTTATGAGCAACCAAACCTCTTCCATAGCAAGTGGAACACTTCAGCATCTGATTCTCCTTGTAAAATCCCGGCTCTCCATCGGCATTGCATGTTGGACATACTACATCCCCTCTTCCTGTGCAACCTGTAAGTCAATTATACAGAATCAGTCTCTAAAAGATTCAAATTGTCCTATTACTAATCATAGACATAAATATTGATACCCGTGCACTTCTCAACAGTCTCAGAATTAGGAACCGGAACTTGAGTTTCTTTATAAGGGACAAACAGAGTAGGAAATTGTGATCTCAGGTCCAATTTCCATAACTCCGGTTCAGATCCATGTTTCTTTCCATTGAAATCACCACCAGTGAAAGGCACTGTCTGTGTTAAAGCTTCCCTCTCCTCAATGAAAGTGTCAAGAGTTCCCACATAAACATTGCAGTCTTCAACAGCATGAATCTTCCACGTACGAGCAGGACGGCTTCCCCAACAGCAACGATGGCCAATATGATCAATAAGCAGCTCTCTTATTTCAATCTCATCAAGAAACTGCCTGTAGAAATTTACGAAAGTTCAACATATGTTTAAAAAGTAAGGGATAACAACCGCAATGAGATCAAAACAGTAGGAACCATTTTGATTGAACTTACCTTTGCAGTTCATGACCTGCTCCAGATGCACTCGGATAACCAATAGCTTGAGCTGTGAAACGCCAAGAAGATATCAGAAATGATGAAACTTTCACATTTGGAAGATCATAGGAAATGATGAAACTTTGACATTTCGAAGATCAAAAAACAAAAGCTAGAGAAAACAATCACCGAAAGTACCACTAAGAATCAAGACTCAAATAAAAGTTTGATACTTTCAATGAAAGCTGATCAAATAACTAAAGGTGTCAATACAAAATTTTGAAGGATCAGGAAAGATGGAAGGAGACTTACGAATGGGTAACGAAACAGGGGTCTTGATAACGGGAGGATAAAGAGACGGAGGATCAGAAGAAACAGCAGAAGCGGTACGGATTTCTTCGACGGTGACGCCAGCTCCGGCGAAGGAAGGGTTACGAGCAGATGAGCTATTTCTCTGCAGGTACTGGTATGAATCCAGCCTTTCGGATTCATTCGTTTTCTCTGATCCTAAATGAGAATTTCGACAATGAATCAGAGGACTCAAAGGAGATATACACAGAGGAGATGATAGGTTCATCTAAATTACCTGAAAGCAGAGGCTTATCCATGGATTACGAATATCTCTGTCTTCGCAATAAACCAACCCTGAGATAAATTAGAGATCTTTACGAAAACCAAGCTCAATTCGATCTTCTTCTCCGTGTGAGATAAATTTCATTACAAGAAACAGAGAGACAGAGTTCGAGTTTTCTTATCGGGTCGGGTCAGGATAGAACCGGGTCCTCATATTTGCCACGTGTGAAACCGTTGAGGATTTTACCCACTATGGATTTTTGTTAAGTACGTAAGCTAAAAAGATTCACGGAAATTATTGCGCGTTTTGGTCAAGTCTTTACGGAGACAACTAACACTTACACATGGATGCTTAAGTCCTATAGATCACATGCGGCATATCGGCAACAAAATCTTTTTTCTTGTTTTCATATTTAAATCACTCAATATAAACTTCATTTACAACTTGTTTCAATATCAACGATTCCAAAATTTGTCGTTGATTATTATAGTTGACCTGGAAAACATAACATCATCTCTGTTTGTCTAGTACGTTACATGTATTTAGGAGTGGACACAAAATGGATTTTTTGGTGTTCTGTCCGGATCAACATATATCTAGATTTGTGTATCAATTTGATTCATTATGCAATTTTACAACTTCATATGAAAAAATTATTATAAGACGCTACTGATCTCACCTCACGTATGCTTAAGCACAATATTGGTGTATGTTTTCTTTTTTTTTCTAGTGTAGAGATGTCTTTTCCTACAAATCTCATGAATATGCATGACTCTTGTTCTCTTAATCTCTCCTAATACATTTTCTCGTCTCTATGAGAACTTTTCGATCTGTTGTCTTCTGTTGACATATATAAGATTAGCAATTTCTTAAACCAAATAAACATTACAAAAGAAAAGAAGAAGAATTTGATTAGTTTTCAAATTAACAAAAGTTTGGACGTTTTAAGAAGAAAATAATAATTTAAAGGTCATAAAATATCTGATTGAAGAAAATAGAATTGCTGAAGATTTTTTTTTTCCAGCTCTAAAACCCAATTCCTAAATCCCTTTTCATTTAGAAAAATATATACATTTGGTATTTAATCTTAAATGAATTTATTATCTCACTCCAAATGTATATATTTTTCCTAAGAGTATGTAAATAAGTTATCCTAGGAGTATGTTAAATAAGTTAAGACATTTTTTGTGTCTTTTTCTTAATATAGACAAAATAAAGACACTTATCCTAAATTAATAAGAGTCAAATGGAGAAATAATGATGAAGGAATGAAGCTCTCAATAACGAAAAACACCTGTCAAAAAGTTATATAAATAATGTTAGAGAAATTGGGTGAGAATGCAGACTAATAAAAATATATATTTTGAGGCGGTTTAATGTGAATTGATGAGTAGACACAGAGTTTGGTTTGGTAATGGTCGCAACAAGCGAAGAGCACTAACTACCGACAACCACTCGCGTCCACATTTGAATTTTCCACATTCCCCCACTCACGCTTTTAGCTCTTTCTCAATCTTTCATGGCGGATTCTCTCTTCCTTCTCCTTCTCGTGTGATTCTGATTCTCCTCTCTAAGATCCGTATCTCTTACTCTCCCTTCTCAAGCTCACTTCAACCATGGCCGCTTCACTACCATTGTTTCAGCTTCTACTCTTTCTTCTTCTTCTTCTTTCAAGAACGCGTTTTTCATCTTCAGAGTACTTAATCGGAGTCGGAAGCTATGACATCACTGGTCCTGCTGCTGATGTCAACATGATGGGCTACGCAAACTCCGATCAAATCGCTTCCGGTATTCATTTCCGGTTACGAGCTCGTGCCTTCATCGTCGCTGAGCCTCAAGGTAACCGCGTCGCGTTTGTCAATCTCGACGCTTGTATGGCTTCTCAAATCGTCACAATCAAAGTTCTTGAGCGTCTCAAAGCAAGGTACATAAATATAGCTTCTAGAATCTTCGGATTATCTAAAGATTTGACCTTTGAGAAGAGTGTTAGTGGAATTAGTGCTTAATCCATTAGAATGGTTAATTAATTTTAGGTATGGTGAGCTTTACACAGAGAAGAATGTAGCAATAAGTGGAATTCATACGCATGCTGGTCCAGGAGGATATCTTCAATACGTCACATATATTGTGACGTCTCTTGGATTTGTTCGTCAATCTTTTGATGTCGTCGTTAACGGCATTGAGCAAAGCATTGTCCAAGCTCATGAAAGTCTCCGTCCTGGTTCTGCTTTTGTTAACAAAGGTAAAGTTACAATCTTTTCTTTGTCTGTTTGATGAGAATTCTTGTGTTTGTTAAACTATTATGTGTGTGTGATGATTTAATAGGGGATCTTTTGGATGCTGGTGTGAATCGAAGTCCGAGTTCTTATCTCAACAATCCTGCAGCTGAAAGGAGTAAATATAAGTATGACGTTGATAAAGAAATGACGCTTGTTAAGTTTGTTGATTCTCAGTTTGGACCTATTGGTAGTTTTAACTGGTTTGCTACTCATGGGACTTCCATGAGCCGGACTAACTCGTTGATTAGTGGAGATAATAAAGGCGCTGCAGCGCGGTTTATGGAGGATTGGTTTGAGAATGCACAGAAGAATTCTGATAGTTTAAGAAATATCCCTCGGAGAGTATCAAGCATTGTTTCTGATTTCAGTAGAAACCGTGAGTCAAATCCTTTCCTTGAGTTACCTAATGTAGCAATTCTCTACATTGCAGTTGCAGCGAGACTGATGTGGAAAGTTATGGTTTTGTTTTTGTTTGTTTCAGAGAGTAGACTTTTGGATATTGCAGCTACTTATAAGTCCTCTAGAGGACATTCTGTGGATAAGTCCCTTGATGTTAAAACCCGAGTAAGAAACACTTCGAAGCGTAAATTTGTCTCTGCCTTCTGTCAATCAAACTGTGGTGACGTGAGTCCAAATACTCTTGGTACATTTTGCATTGACACTGGACTGCCTTGTGATTTCAATCATAGTACTTGCAATGGAAAGAACGAGTTGTGCTATGGCCGTGGTCCGGGGTATATACTGCTTCATGATATCTTATGTTTTTTCTGTGTGTCCAATTCTATGTTTTTGCACATTGTGATTGATGTTCTACCTTTTTTTTGGTAGCTACCCTGATGAATTTGAGAGTACACGTATCATTGGAGAAAAGCAATTCAAAATGGCAGTGGAACTTTTTAATAAAGCTACAGAGAAGCTGCAGGGAAAAATTGGTTACCAACATGCGTATCTAGATTTCTCAAATCTTGATGTCACAGTTCCTAAAGCAGGCGGCAGCTCTGAGACAGTTAAAACATGTCCAGCTGCAATGGGGTTTGGTTTTGCTGCTGGAACAACTGATGGTCCAGGTGCTTTTGATTTCAAACAAGGAGATGATAAGGTACTTAAGCAAAAGCTTTTCAAATATCCTCTTGTTATCTCTCTTTGAATCTTTCTCTTACGAAAAGAATGTCTTGTTTTAAGGGTAATGTGTTTTGGAGACTAGTGAGGAATGTGTTGAGAACTCCTGGTCCAGAACAGGTCCAATGCCAAAAACCAAAACCCATTTTACTTGACACTGGTGAGATGAAAGAACCATATGACTGGGCGGTGAGTGGCTCCATTCTCTGTTTCCTTATAACTGGTCAAAGATTTGACATCTTAGTGTACTGAGTCTATATAGTCTAAGAGTTCATTATATGAACTGTGCAGCCTTCAATTCTTCCGATTCAGATACTTCGCGTTGGCCAATTAGTCATCCTCAGTGTCCCCGGAGGTAAATCAATGAGACTTTCTCTTCCTCATTAGGATCAAAACTTCGGTTTGCCGGTTTGGTTTTGTTCAGTTTTTGAATCTCTTATTGGATCCAGAATTCACAACAATGGCTGGAAGACGTCTCCGTGATGCTATCAAGTCTTTTCTCATCTCTTTGGACCCCAAGGAATTCAGCAACAACATGCATGTCGTAATCGCAGGTCTCACCAACACCTATTCTCAGTACATCGCCACTTTCGAAGAGTACGAGGTTCAAAGATACGAGGTTTGTAAAACACACTATCTTTCTTGATTCAGCTTTGTCTATATGTCACGCTACTGTCTATAACTCACCAGCTTTTCTTGTTTTCGTAGGGAGCTTCAACTCTATACGGACCACACACACTCACTGCTTATATCCAAGAGTTCAAGAAACTAGCCACAGCTTTGGTTAACGGTCTAACACTCCCACGTGGTCCGCAACCGCCTGACCTTTTAGACAAACAGATTAGTTTACTATCCCCTGTAGTCGTAGACTCGACTCCTCTAGGAGTCAAATTCGGTGACGTCAAAGCTGATGTACCTCCAAAGTCAACTTTCAGGAGAGGTCAACAAGTTAACGCAACGTTTTGGTCGGGATGTCCTCGAAACGATTTGATGACGGAAGGATCATTCGCTGTGGTGGAGACGCTGCGTGAGGGAGGGAAATGGGTTCCAGTGTACGATGACGATGACTTCAGTTTGAAGTTTAAGTGGTCAAGACCGGCAAAGCTAAGCTCGGAGAGCCAAGCCACGATTGAGTGGAGGGTACCGGAATCTGCGGTAGCGGGAGTTTATAGAATAAGACATTATGGAGCTTCTAAGTCCTTGTTTGGATCCATTAGTAGCTTCTCTGGTTCTTCTAGCGCCTTTGTAGTTGTATGACATACTATTATATACTACTATTTGACTAAACATGTCACTGTATGGTGTATACTTTATGAAATAAAAAGAGAAGAAAAGAGATTTGATTTGAATTATGAAGGTGATGAATAAACGTTACATATGCTACACACAACAGCAATTGGATGATGTTATTTTATTTAGTTATCTCACTAGTACAATTTTACACACTTCTCTTGTGAGTTTTGTTACAATCAAACAAAATTCTCCATCTCACTGCAACTTTCAGGACTTTAAGCTAGGAGGCTCCTTGGAAAGGCATTTTCAAGGTATCGAAAATAGCATTCTGTACAAACGTCTTCCTGAATCTCTCAAGCAATTCTCCTCCATCATTTGCCTGAGCTGCTGCATCAGCCGCTTCCTTTGCCATTCCAATACGAGCATAAGCCTGAGATGCCACACATAAAACTCACACTAAAGGGTTTGGATAGATTTTAAAAATATCTAATCCAAGTACATGTTTCATATGCAGGACATACCTCGCCTCTTTCGACAAGATCTGATAGTTTAGGGATGTATTTTAGAGCTTCCGCTTTCTCATCTGCGTCAATGCATGCCTCCACAAATGGACGGAACCCTTTATGATATATATGCCAGTTAAAACATGAGATAACTCGAAATGAATTTACCTACTGTCTCAGTCTTAACATCAGCGTAGTAGATGATGCAACTGATATACAGATGGGAACATTGTAATCATTAGAGAAGCTGTGTAAGATTACCCATTGGTGGTCTCTTTTCCTTTGAAAACTTTTCAAGCGCTGCCCAGTCTTTGATTGTAGCCAGAGCAAATGCTTTAAGCCAATACCATCTTTTATCACTGACCTGAAAATTCAAACGGCACTGTGGTGAAGATCACGTTCTTACAATCATCCATTGCACAAAAGGGGAGAACAAAATCCAATTAAAACCTTGAATTCTGTCTTCACTTTTATTGCAGCACGATTATTACCCAGTACAATACATGTGCGTATAGTATCATTGATGCTTGAATCAACAAAGATAGCCTGCTTTGTACTAGCTTCTAGCTCATGTTGTATCCTAAAACACGTAACCAAAAAAGATCATGAGACAAAGAGCAAAGAAATAATGAAAATCAAGTTTGGCTTGCAACTATTACTTCAGGAGTTTTGCATGCTCCTCAGCAGCCTTAGACTCGAAAGTGTGTTCCTTTGTCTGGGAGAAAAGGTTTCTGGCCTTCTCTATTAGTTTTATACGCGGACCGTGCAGCGGGGATCCTTTGCTAGCCATTGGGTTTTTACCCATATCCCATGATTCTTTCCATAAAAGAAAAGCTACCTCCTGAAACAACCACAAGAATTCAAGCTTAACAGCTGTTTATGTACACGAACAGCATCTATTTGATGGTCAACTTCAGCGTTTACAGGAAAATACAATTAAAAAATTGGCCCAAGTTAGCTTCTGAACTAAGAGTATAAATCAAGGGAAAACGTGATCATGAAACGTACATGAATCTGGCCCGTAGATAAGAAAAAATCCTTCAGAAATTCATGTTTATGACACCTACAACAGTAAAAATTTATAATATCGTTCATAAACTACAAAGTTTTGCATAAATCAAGTATAGTAGATAGAAGATTTTCCTACCGTGCATAAGCTACAAATAGATCACGTGCCAAAACTCTTCCTTGGATCATCGCAAAGAATTCCAAAGGAGGCCTCTGGTCAACCCCACAAATTAAAATCAGTTAGCTCTTGTTTCTTAGCACAACATACAGATTTCTAGTTAATAGTTTAAAAGCACTAAAAAAGAGTCATATACCTTTTGCCATATATGAAATATGACCAGATAAACCAGGTCGGTGTCACCGCTCTCAGTTGCTTTCACTAAAGCAGTGTCTTCCTCCCCAATGCTTAATAAAAGAGGTACCTAGAATTACAGAAAGTGATCACGAAACATGAGAAGCTAAGTTTTTACACAAATTATTACCGTGAAAATATGAATGTCTTTTACTTCTGCATAAAGAACCCCAACGAGAGGTAGTCATCTTAGATAGACAAACCTGTTTCGTGGAGCGTGGTTCGTGTTCAACTAGCATTGCAGCTAACTTTCGACGGCCACAGTTATCAGCATGAGTGGCCACTGCAGCATAAGATATTCCTTTGCATAGTTGGAGCTGAAATTCAATGACATCAATCCTTCTAAGTCCATGAGTTTCCTCCATCTCAATATATATATCTTGCAAAGACTTATATATACTAGAATTTGAACCTTATCAAGTAAAATTTCAAGAAGATGAGAATCTGGAGTTGATGGTGAAGCAGTTATCTTTGCACATGCCCAATGCATTATCACCACTTCCTATATGACGCCAACAATAGAAAACCATTAATCACCCTAAGGCTAGACAGGAAAATATTGGAGATAGAGGAATGCGTCACAGGGACAAATAAAGCAACCTCTGACTTACTTTATTCATATCTAAGTACTCAGATATCCGCAGAGCAAGAAGGTGGCAATGAGCGTTAATAAGGCGACTAATCAAAACCATTGGTGTCAGTAACTGCACGCCAGATAAATTTTATGAGGAAAAGGGTAGCTGAAAATGTTTCTTTATAGAGACAATCATATAAACTGCAAAAACCTTGTACTGCTGAATGCTAAGAGGTATGCCAATAGCAGGATCACGAACCGCATTTAGAACCCGTAACGTTCTACAAGTCTCTTGGACACGTTCACGCTGAAAATTGCTGTTGCAGCTCACTGAGCGTTAGTCTCAGAAATTAGATTACTCAAAGTCAATTCTATTAGACTAACCTGCAGAAAGCTTGTCCATAGCTTGCCGCTCGTAAAAGAGCCCTCTGACGAGTTACATCAAATTCATGGCCAGCGGCATCAATACAGGATTCAACAGCCTCAGACAGTGATGAACGAATTAATCTCAAATTTTCATCTGCCTAACAGAAAGAAGAGCAAATCAACTTCCTCACCCAAATCTAGGAATAGTAATTATATGACATTCTTCTCAAATCATTCCATTTTTTCAGTAAGAACACCACATTCGTTCTAAACCTAAATTCATCCCTGAATATCCAATATATACAACAGCAGGAATAACTGAGACACTAAAGCTTGAATATGAAGGAATCACATCATAATGCACAACATCTCCTACAGAACACCATTAAGATGCTTATCCTTTTTATTGTCCACGGTAATAAACCTACCTTAGCACTTCGCCTGTCAAAATGATCCAAAGCTTTTTATTGTCTACAGTAATAAACCTACCTTAGCACTTCGCCTGTCAAAATGATCCAAAGCATCATATAGCAAAGCTGCAGGTGAGGTGCTTCCAATCTTAAAGATTGACTCGGTAGAATCAGGTACTCTTTGCAGAAATTCAAGGCTCGTGTTAGATAATATTCTCACTCCATCGCATTCTGGGATAAGAATTACAGGTTCATCATAGAAATAGTGAACTGGGTCTCCTACAGGACCCACCATCATTAAATCTTCATCCCAATAGAGCAGAACGCTATCCATTCCACACCAAGCCATTTGCTGCGGAGGAAGGGCTGACTAGAAAAGTATGCGATTAAAGACACAGTTAAGTCACCATACTACAGAACGACAAGCAATTTTTATTATACTGTCTATAAGGAAGAACCAAGTATCTGAAGAAGCAATGATGCATACCTCACAACAGTAGTCAATAGCAATTTGTTTTGTTTCCATGTCAACAACAACAATCCGGCCATCATGAGTGAAGAGTGTTAGAAATTTTCCATTAGGTGATACAATCATCTTCTGGACCACTCCAATCAAATTCCCAGAATCATCATTCTGCATCTCAGAGTCTTCAACACTAGGCTCATCAAACCTAATAGTTTGAACCATGTCCTCCTCCACAACAAAAATATCATCGCCAACTGCTACTAACACCTCAGCAATCCCAGACATTGTGTACTTAGGTTCCCTCACAGTCAAGCAAATTGGCTGAAGCAGATCATCTTCTGCTAACCCCGGTACATCAGGCAACTTAGAAGGCTTCATTGTCTTGAAATCGAAGATACAGACCAACTGCCCTCCTTCTGTCAAGCAGACAACACCATTTCCCCAGAAGACACACTCCACCACATTCTGCTCAAAGCACTCCTTGCCCATTGACATATTGGGCTCAATGAGCTCAGCGTGGATGTTATAACGATAAATAGTGCCATCTTGGACAATGCAAATTAGTGTCTGATCATCTGACCAGGACATTCCGATCAGACGTCCCCCGGGATGCTTCCAGACCGTCTCAGAGAGAAGTATACCTGCTGAATTAAAGATGCGGAGCTTTCTTAGAGCAGATTCAGCATATAGTTGGACAATCTTCGAGTCATCTCGAATAACTGCAATTGGCCCACCAAATGAAGCACACGCCACCTTGTTACGACTCAAATCTACATGTTTCCATTTCATTTGGTATATCTCAGGCTTCCTATAATATCGATCATAGAGAAGTTGCCATTCCGCAGCAACAGACACGTTTGCCATCTTATTTCGTCAGGACCTGCAGAATAATCAAAAGAGCCAGGATCATTGATTTGGTTATGGAAACAAAGAAACACATATCTAAAGGAGTAATAAGCCCCCAAAACATTGTTACCCATTTTACAAATCCAAAAGAAACTGAGCAATTCTTTCCAATGACTGCAAATCCATACTGCATAACAAATTTGAATTACATCAACATAAAGTCATAGCTAAGTCTTAAATGTCCTTAAAATAAAGGCACTCGTCTAGATTCATAGTCTTAGCTAAATTCGCAGTAAGACATAAAATTGTCATAAATAAACATCAGAAATTAGAATGATTCTTCAAAATTAGGACTAAACATAGACGCAGATCAACCTAGAGTGGATGATTGACCCACAACACACAAAATATCAACGTCACCTAATTAAGATCAAATACTAGTTGGATTTGAGTATTACCAAAGCTAATTAAGATCAAATACATACATGAATCTGTAAAAGTAAAATCTAATACGAACCAAAATCTAACACCAACTCAAACCCACAAAAATCTAACACGAACCCACCAAAATCCGTCAATAAAAACGCCAACCCAGATCGCTATTTCGATATTGTGACGAAAAAAGGAGTAGAATCAAAGAAAAAGAAGAACAAAAACTTCACCTTTAGGGATTGAAAAATTAGGGTTGCTGCTCCTTCACCAAGCTCTGGAAGTTTCTCTTTATAGTCAGATCAATCCTTTGAATTCTTCAACTCTTATGGCTTCAGAGAAGAAATCAAAGAAGAAGTGGAGCGTTTGGGAGAAAGAAGAAGAGAGAAAAAAAAATTTGGAAGACAAGGAATAATAAAAAGTGTAATAGGGCCAACTCTATTTTAGCCCATAACAATTTAAGTATAACCCTGAAATTTTGAGGGCCTCTTTTAATAAAAACAATCTGTTAAGCTTTCTTATATGTTTAGGGATTTTAAAAAAAGTGTGGCCTTTTTTTATACAAGAGTATTAAGACTAAAACCTAAAAAAACTAGAGTAAAGAAAATCAAACGACGTTGCCGGTCTCTTAAACAAGACAGTGACGTATGTGAATCAATTTGGTTTCTTACAAGTTCAAATCATAGTTTTTGAGGTTAATTGTTAGTTTTGCTTTTCAATTTGTTGTTGTTTTCCTTTTGTCTTTGTCAAATTAGTAAAAAAAATTGTTGCAAATTCGATGATTAGTTAAATTCCAAATTTTAAATCGATCGATTGTTAGCTACTTAGCTTTGTTTAACTATGAGACCAAAATTCCAATGTGTTTGCTTTGATTTGTGTTAAACGTCGAAGCATATAAAATTTCATATAATCTAATTTTAATATTTTATAACCACGAACACCAAACACTTGCTGTAATATTTTTTTGCTTTGGCTTGCTGTTAAAATATTGTCAAAGCAACGTTTTTTTGTGTTTCTTTTAAACTGTTTTTTTAAGTATATGAAAAGGCATGTTTTTAAGTTTTTGCGTAGGGCATTCATACATGCCGGCACTGGGCTCTGGTTTCAATACTTGCATTTAAATGGATTTTGTTTTGGTCAAATTTCGAAGCAGTAGCATCAGTTTCATAGAGAATGGGAGCAAAAGAAGTGGACAATGCTGAGTTAAGCGACAAAGCTTTGGTGGTTGCCATTAGAAAGGCACTTACATCTGCCCAAAGTGTGAGTCTTACACAAATCTTGTTTCATCCACATTTGTATATACATCTATATATGTTTCTCTGTGTGTGTTCTTTATAAAGTTTATATTTTTCTTTTGTTAAATCCAGGGGGATACCGATCGATATAATGAGCTTGTTCAGTTAATGTACATTATAAAGAAACCTGATGATGTCGATGTTGTGGCACAGCGAGAGGGGTGTCTTATGACAAATCCATTCTTTCTTTTTTTCGGTTGTTGCTAACCAATACATATCTTCATTTCTCATTCGCTTTGCAGACACTCTTGAAAATTCTATCACGCTCTGTTGCTTGCTTAGATGAAGTTCACCATAAAGTCCTTCTTGATCGTGTAAGTTTTATTTATTTATCTATTACACACTTACCTTAATGACCTTCCTCTGACTCTCATCACATTTTATTGTCCTTAGATTTTTGGGACGACAATTTGGGATCACAAACCTAATGTAAATGTAATGTATGCATTGCTGGACCTAATCGTATCACTGGTAACTATCCCTCATGGCTCATGTCGTCAACCATATATATTATCTGCTTACGGAGCTTAACAGTTTGTGTTTTTTGTTCTTTACCATCTCTAGGCCACTACTAGTGGAAAGCATCTGAGCTCTTGTTTAAATATGCTCGTCTCTAATTTACTTTCGCAACCCCGCATACTCGACAATAAGATGCTGGAACTTCTTTCCCGGGTGCACGCAGCTCTTCACAAGATTTCTTTTTTAGTTCCCCTTGCTCCCTCGATACTACTGCCCATACTCGCCCAGAGTTTGCCTAGCGTACACGACAAAGACCGCGTATGTTTTTAATTCTGTTAAAATCAATGTAACAGCTACCCCATACATGTGGTTAACTAAATGACAAAAAACTATTCTATTGTCTTGCAGTTTCAGCTTGTAGTGCCATACGTGGAGAACTTGTTGCAGTTGGAAAACAGCTCAATCGGAAAAGTTTTTGGCAACGTCATTCTTAGGGTGGTAATGGAGAGGTTGCTAGATCTCGATGTAAGTCTCCAGAATTTGCTTCACGAATACAGTTCCATACAAGTATAGTATAGCCACTGTTTAGTTATGTGGTAAGTGAATGATATGCTTGATCATCTTTGTAGTTGGAGATTGGGTGGGATGATATTCTCCAAGATGACTCCGCCATTGCCATGTTTGATATGGAACTTGACCTTGCAGTTGAAGGCACTACCAATGAAGGAGAGGAGGTAGGGTTAGTGTGTTAATTTGCTGAATCCATAAACTTGGTTGTTGAAAGTTTCAGGAGTACAAGATGCTTTTTCTCTTACTATGAAAATTTGGACTTTGATTCGTTGTGGTTTCCTGGAGAGCTTCATGAATTTGATTTTTCTTTTGCAGTTTCCAGTTCGGTCTCTAAATCAAAATGGAAATGCCGTCTCTGACTTGTTGGACGACTTAATGGTCCTATATTTTGATCATCTTAAATCCTGTCAAGATTCTGGTCGTCTGGATGAGGTATGTCACCAAATGGTGCTTCATCTTTCCTTTCATTTCCTTTGTGGTAGATGCATTCATCTTTTGGGGTTCTGTTTTCCATGGTTTTGGCGCAGGTGTTTGAAAATCTGTTCGAGTCGTTTGTGAACTTAATTCTGAACGCGCAAAAAACAAAAATTTCACAGGTATCTATCACAACACATACTATATAATTCGTCATTCTAGGCTCCTAACACTTTACTTCATTGTGGACATGAGATATCTTAGCTTAGACTCGTTTTGCTTTCCACTGCAGTTCCTGATGTTCTATGCGTGCTCACTAGATCCTGAAAATTGTGGTGTGAAATTTGCCAGTAAGCTGTTGGACATATTTCTCAACAGCAACAACAACAATCAAGTTACTAGGTGAGTTTCATCTTATCCTTCACGGTAAAAAATTATCTGCAAGCTAATACTGTTCTCTAGTCACCAGACTCACCACTTGTACATGGTTTTGTTTTCTCCCCTTACTAAACAGGACGAATGCAGTGGCTTATCTAGCTAGCTACTTGGCTCGTGCAAAGTTTTTGCCTGCTTCTTTTGTGGCTAGCATGTTGAAAAGGTAAAAAGAGACTGCTAAAGAAACTGACAAAAGATGATTGTTTCGATCTGATTTAAGTTCCAGTTTGTTGTAACATTGTTTCTCTCGTGTCCGAAATCCTAGATTGGTGGATGAGTGTGCGGATTACTGCAGAACATGCAATGATGATGCTAGGCCTGAAGAACATCAAGTTTTCTATTCAGTATGTCAGGTATAGTCCAAGTTTACAACCATCTTGTTGCTTTTATTCATTAAGAATTCATCTGTGATATGATCGACGTCACTTGTATCAATCATCTTTACCCTTATAAGTCTCAAAGAGTTTTTTTTTTTTTGCCTATCAGTTGTATGGAGTGATACACAATTATGTCAAGTAATGACTTAACTTTGTTGCTTTTCTGTGATTGTAGGCAATCTTGTATTTGTTATGCTTCCGAATGAGATCAATCCTAGATGTTCCTCGCTTCCGATCGCAGATTACACCATTGGAGTCAGTTTTATCTCACAAACTAGACCCGTTGAGGGTAACTTATACTATCATTTTTTTCCCCCAATAGCTCATGTGTTATCTCAAGTGGTCTGAACCAAAGTATCAAATGCATTAAGCTTGCACCAACTCTTTTTTTTTTTTTTTTTTTTGTGGTTGAACAGGTGTGCCTTCCATCTGTAGTTTCTGAGTTCCTTTATCAAGCCAAAGCCGGTGGTCTGTTCATTGTCTCCGACGCCTTCATTTTTGATGACCTACCTGAGTCTGAGCTTTCTCGTGCTTTAGGTGGCTTCTTCCCATTCGACCCGTGCTTGCTGAAAAAAACTAACAGGTTCACCATCTTAACTCTTGTATTTTTATTTTATTTTGTTTCTATTGCATCTATTACGAAGTGACATGAGAAACTTAGAGAAGTTACTTTGACTCATTTGATGATTTAGCCCGACTTGAGAGCATGTTTAATGCAGATTCTTCTTCTGTTGAATATGATGATGTGGAAGTAGTTGCGTTACGTAGTTTTTACTCTCTTACTCACCCGTTTGCTTGTCAAATCTTAAAGACTTATCTCTCGGGACTTCATTTTCTGGGAAACGGTGATAACAGCTTATGACGAAGATGATGAGGATGAGGTTTTGCCGGAAGTCATTGTGTATGGAGATACAGACAGCGATGATGATGATGATGATGATGATGTTCATGATAACGAGGTGGACAAGATGTCTATAACTCCTAAACACTCCTTCATGCACGAAACAGAGAGACTCTTGAAGATGCCTTGGTTGATCAGACCATCAACTTGTCATCGTGAATCCCTCTGATTCTAGTGGAGGGAAGGCAAGGGTTCTTAATAATTTCTTTTTGCAAGACTTTAAAATCTAAAAATACGTTTCTTTATGAGGAAAGCAATTTTCGGACTTGGTTTTGTATGCAAGTTTTGAAAACTTTTGTTCAATTAAAACACCGTCCCAAATTGAAAATTCACGAATTTTTTGACATTTTCCCCGTTTTATCAACTAAGCTGTGTGGTTGTTTCTTAAGCTTTGTTTTTAAGTTTCTCTAAAACAAACAATGCTTCTTTGGTGTTTTTGAGTTTTATCAACTGCGTCGATTATTAGAAACTTATGCGTTAAATCTTTTTAAATGTGTGAATGTTTCAATGAAAAAATAAATTTAAATCTGTCCAACAATGTTAATTGATCCATCTTAGAGTTAAGGTCATTGAGAAGAACTTTAGCAACTTTCGGAAAGCTCCATCAAAGTCGTGATACACATACACTTAACTTATGGGTACAAAATTCCAATTTCTCTGATCATATCAATAAAGTCAATGGCAATGAGTGAGGCATAAAAATTTGGTCAACGAAGCAAATCATAGTGGTTTTTACCACTGTAAAGAAGCCTAACAACATTCTTGTTTGTCTTCCCTTTTCCCCAGCCTCCTCGAAACTCACCTCCATACTCTTGAATCGGTATAAAACCCGATCCATACCCTCCTCTACCGTGCTGGAAAAAGAATACCAAATAACTCGAGATCTGAATACACACTTACTAGAACAAAAGAAACACCAATTCTTGTCTACTTAAAGACTCTAAATCAAAGAACCTTTACCTCGTGCTCGGGTATGTAGACAATGATAGGCTGTTTACATAGCTTAGAAAGAACCTGTTGAAACAAAACATTGACGTTAGATCATTTCTCCATGATGGAAATTATTAGTTTAAAATGCAGGAAACTCACTAGTAGCTCGGACTCTCCTCCCCAGAAATCGTGTCTTCCAATCCGCTGACAATAGCTGAAGAAAAAACGTTTATATGAATAGGAAAAACAAAGCCATTTAGCTGAAAAATGGGAAAGAGTGAATGAGCTCACCGTTTAAGAGACTCATCCACAGTAATAGCCACTAAAGCTTCTTTGTACTTCTCCTTTTCCTTGGGATCATTGCATATAACCTCTTTCACAGCCATTCGTAACTCATCTGTGAAACAAATGCAAGTTTTTGCCACACAAAAACATGATGAACAAGAGATATATAAACATCCAAATGAATAGACCAGAGAACCCACAAAACATTTTCCTACCAAAAAGGCTAACAGACTGTTAAAAACTCCATTTTTGATACCCAAACTCAACAAGCTTAACACAGTTCAATCTCTTGGCTTTCAAAACACACAACGAACATCAAAACAAGGCTAGATGATCAAATATATACTCTCACCTGCATCATCTCTCTCTCGTTGGGGGTTAAGAGTAACACCTTTGTTAAAGGCCATTCCTTTCACCTTATTTACATCGAACATCACATCATTTCTTTAAGAAACCCCAACAAGAACACAGAACATAACAGAAACTACATTACCAATGCTCGAAACAGACATCTCCCATCTCCTTTAACTCTATCCACAGCATACTGCTCAACCTTTTTCGCTGCAGGAGATCGATTCCTATAGACAAATTCGCAGATTAGCGTAAAGGGTTTTATCAAAGACTCGATTTTTGAATTCAATAAACGAGAAAGAAAACACACATCGAGGAACCGATTCTGGCGAAGAACACATAGCTATTTCCCTTCGTTGCGCTCATGAATGAAGCTGGGAGTGAAATGGAGGAGATTGAATCTGAAATAGAAGCAGTAGGGGAAGAAACAAGCTCGAATCGAGCGAACCCATTTCTCAGTTGCTCAAGAATGTTATCTGCGATATAAATTGATGATAGTGTTGGAAATTAAACAAGAACAAAACAACAAGGGTTCAGAGGAATGAAGTATTACTGTTGGAAGAAGATTTGAGCTCCATGGAATCTCTTTCACGGGAGATAAGGGAGTTCGAATTGACTCTTGAAGAAACCAAGGTGTAGCCATGAAGTTCGATGAGATAAATAATATAATATCTCGGAGAGAATTCAAATCCGTTGTAGTCTAGCTGGTCAGGATACTCGGCTCTCACCCGAGAGACCCGGGTTCGAGTCCCGGCAACGGAGTTTTTTTCTTTTTTGTCGGCCGTCCGATTAGTTTACCAAAATAATAGTCCAATAAACGCCACCGGCTTCATAACCTAACCCCACCAAATCCACCGGAACATATCCAAAAACTTGTAGTGAAAGGTATTTAATCTCACACGTAGGAGGTGTCACGTGGGCACGTGCGAGAGAGCAAAGGACTAAACTTTTATGGTTTAACGACCAACCGGAAAATTCTGGCAAATTGGCAAGGGATCGAAGCTTGTTTCCCAATCTGCATAAGAAATATCGAAACACTTCCACACAAAATCCACGCGCTCACTCACTCGCATAACACTTGTTCCTTCTCTCAATTTCAAATACGACGATCTCTTCGATGCTTGCTCTTCCTTTCTCCTTCTTCATTCCCTTCTGATTCTGCTACCTCTTAGTCTCGGATCTCTGGTTTTTCTTCGTGTTTTGTGGTAAAGTTTAATTCTTTGAGCTGGGTTTTCTTTTGCTGTTGATGGGTTTGAGAGATTTGGTTGTTTTGTTTATGAGACACAAAATGGGTAGTGGAACAAATCTGACCAATTTGTGTTCTTTAATTTGATTCAGTGATCGATGATTGCTTTTGATCTAATTTGTCTTGGTTTTGATTTCTGTCAGTGTCGGATTTGTTCATTTAGAGGATACATATCTGTTTGGAGTGGATCCATTCAAAAGTAATTGAAGAAATCAACCCAAAGAATGGCTTCAATATCTCATTCATCACTAGCATTAGGAGGAGCTTCTTCTGCTTCTGCTTCGGATTACTTGCGTAGTTCGAGCAATGGTGTTAATGGGGTACCATTGAAAACCTTAGGAAGAGCAGTGTTTACTACCATTAGAAGGAAGGACCTGGCGGTGACATCTAGGCTCAAGAAAGGTAAGAAATTTGAGCATCCATGGCCTGCGAATCCTGACCCGAATGTGAAAGGAGGAGTCTTGTCGTATCTGTCCGAGTTCAAACCTTTGGGGGATACTCAAAAGCCTGTCACTTTGGATTTCGAGAAACCACTAGTCGAATTGGAGAAGAAGATTGTCGATGTATGAATGGGAATACTTATCATCTGTTTGCATCTTAGTTTGATTTCCGTTAGCAGTTGTCTGGTGTGTAGTTTCTCATTAGATTGGTTCTTGTGATGCAGGTGAGGAAGATGGCGAATGAAACCGGGTTAGACTTCACTGAGCAGATTATCACTTTGGAGAACAAGTATAGACAGGTAAAAATGAAATTATAGGTTGGTTCTCAATGTATATGGTTAAAGGAGACCCACCGTTCAAATTTGATGTTAATGTACTGACCCTTGCTATTTTAATGTCAGGCACTGAAAGATCTTTACACGCATCTCACTCCAATACAACGTGTGAACATTGCGCGCCATCCCAACCGACCTACTTTCCTTGATCATATACATAACATCACTGACAAGGTTTGGTCTCTCAGTAGTTAGGCTTTTCTGTCATGCATTGAGGATAAATTCTTGTTTTTACATACTTGGGACTCTCTGCTCTTGTTTCAGTTTATGGAGCTTCATGGAGACCGAGCGGGGTATGATGACCCTGCAATTGTGACCGGTATTGGAACCATCGATGGAAAACGTTACATGTTCATAGGTCACCAGAAAGGTAGAAACACCAAAGAAAATATAATGCGTAACTTTGGTATGCCGACTCCTCACGGGTATGTTTTCACGAGGAGCTTCCTGGTTTGTAATTAAATGAAAGCATTCAGAGTCAACAACACTCTTATCAAATTTCTGTAATGTCTAAAACAGATATAGGAAAGCACTTCGGATGATGTATTATGCAGACCATCACGGTTTTCCAATCGTGACATTCATCGACACTCCTGGAGCCTATGCAGACCTTAAATCCGAGGAACTCGGACAGGTACAAGAAATGCCTTTAATGTTTGAAGTGTACTGGTGTATCTGCAGCATAACATTTTTTGCTTATCTGTATAATAGGGTGAAGCGATTGCCAACAATCTGAGGACGATGTTCGGCCTGAAAGTGCCAATTCTTTCTATTGTCATTGGGGAAGGTGGTTCTGGTGGTGCTTTAGCCATTGGCTGTGCTAATAAAATGCTAATGCTCGAAAACGCAGTTTTCTATGTTGCCAGGTAAAATTTTCCCCAATGTAGATATGATGATATGATATTTCTACAGATTCATTTATCACGTCTGTTGTTTTGCTTTTCACAGTCCAGAGGCCTGTGCAGCGATTTTGTGGAAGACTTCCAAGGCTGCTCCTGAGGTATGTACACTGCTCTACTATTCGATTAAGTGATCATGTAGACTCTAATGTTACACTTAAATGAAACTCGTGTACGCAGGCTGCTGAAAAGCTTAGAATTACCTCCAAGGAGCTGGTCAAGCTTAATGTAGCTGATGGAATCATTCCTGTAACTGATGCTAACTCTAATCTATTTGTTTTTGCCACTCTTACACCTCCTTTGTCGCTTGGATCATTGAGATTCTCTCTTACATGTTGCACAGGAACCGCTTGGCGGGGCCCATGCTGATCCTTCATGGACGTCGCAGCAGATAAAGATTGCTATCAATGAAAACATGAATGTAGGCATAGTTATTCTTCTCAACACTGGATGTGGATCTAAAAGGTTTCTAACTTTTTCTTGGGAACTTGTAGGAATTCGGAAAAATGAGTGGGGAGGAGCTCCTGAAGCACAGGATGGCTAAGTACCGAAAGATTGGAGTGTTCATAGAAGGTGAAACAATAGAGCCGAGTAGGAAAGTCAACATGAAGAAGAGGGAAGCCGTGTTCTCAGATAGCCGAAAGCTGCAGGGGGAGGTTGACAAGCTGAAGGAGCAGATTCTGAAAGCCAAGGAGACGTCTTCAGAAGACGAGCCTTCGAGTGAAGTTCTTAATGAGATGATTGAGAAACTCAAATCCGAGATAGATGACGAGTACACTGAAGCTGCCATTGCAGTAGGTTTGGAGGAGAGACTAACGGCGATGCGCGAAGAGTTCTCGAAAGCAAGTTCAGAGGAGCATCTTATGCACCCGGTTCTGATCGAGAAAATTGAGAAGCTCAAGGAAGAGTTCAATACCCGTTTGATTGACGCGCCTAACTACGAGAGCCTAAAATCTAAGCTTAACATGCTGAGGGACTTTTCCAGAGCCAAAGCAGCATTAGAAGCTACTTCATTGAAAAAGGAGATCAATAAGCGGTTCCAGGAAGCTGTAGACCGTCCTGAAATTAGAGAAAAGGTTGAGGCAATCAAAGCTGAGGTCGCGAGCTCAGGGGCTTCATCTTTTGACGAGTTACCTGATGCATTGAAAGAAAAAGTTCTTAAGACTAAAGGGGAGGTCGAAGCAGAGATGGCGGGTGTGTTAAAGTCAATGGGTCTGGAGCTTGATGCTGTGAAACTGAATATGAAGGATCCGGCTGAGCAGACCTTTGCCGCAAACGAAAACCTTCAAGAAAAACTTGAAAAGCTGAACCAAGAAATCACCAACAAGATTGCAGAGGTGGTGAGGACACCAGAGATCAAGAGCATGGTCGAGTTGCTGAAAGTGGAAACCGCAAAGGCGAGCAAAACGCCTGGTGTCACCGAAGCATATCAGAAGATCGAGGCACTTGAGCAGCAGATCAAGCAGAAGATTGCAGAGGCTCTGAACATGTCCGGACTGCAGGAAAAGCAAGAAGAGCTCGAGAAGGAGATTGCAGCTGCACGTGAACTGGCTGCAGAGGAATCAGACGGGAGTGTGAAGGAAGATGACGACGACCACGAAGATAGTTCAGAATCCGGGAAATCGGAGATGGTTAACCCCAGCTTCGCCTAAAGCACAAAACAAGACATTGTTTGTAAGTCAAAATCTGATCAAATCTTTGAATCATTCACAGACACAACCAAAATGCTAACTAATACAAAGACACAAACTCGCAGGATCTTGAAGCTCTTTTGATTTCCCTGGTAAAGAGGCTATATCCTCCACGATCTGAAGCAAAGAGAAACAGATAAACTCCAGTGGAGGAACAGCAACTTAAAGACCTTGCTTTCTCTAGTTTAGCTTCAGGAACATGATTTCTGGATTGGAACAAGCGTTTGAAGTTGACTTTTGTCTTTGGATTCATTTCTGTATTGTTATGTCTTGTTTCGTTAGAACACTAGTTTTTGTCTTTGACATACGTAACACTTTTCACTCGTCAATCCTTTTTGATATTTATAAAATTTGTCTAAATAATTACACAGTTTGTTGTGCACTGTTGAAGAACATAAGATCTAAACCGTATTTGGAACTAAACCGGTTATTGCAAATTTTGGCAAAACTAGTTTTGGAACAAATTGAGAAAAAAACATATCATAAACTAGTATCTACTCTCTCTCAGTACACAAAAGGAATAACAGCTTTTCGAGTCTTGGGATACTCTTCCTTGAACTTCTCGATGTACCACTTGTGACTCGCATGTGCACGCGGAATCAAATTAGAACACGTGTACAGAAAAAATCCAATACCGGCCCAAGACCAAGTCATAACAGCCCAGCCCAGCCACTCAATCACCTCTCCAAAGTAATTCGGACAGCTAACGAGCTCGAACCATCCTCCTCTCGGTATCACATAACCTCCCCGGTTCTCTTTCTTCAATCGTACCAAAGTCCGGTCCGACGTGATATTTATATACATACCGGCTACAAAAACCAGCATACCAATAATAAACCTCCACCAGAACCACTTTCCGTCTTCGTAGTCGTCCTTGTAATGCGAAACCCACCTCGCCTGTTCATACATAAACCGAATTTTGAAAATTTGAGATTTTAACCTGGTGAAATGTTCTGATGTAAACCGGAAAATTCAAACGAACCAAACCGAAATCAGAGAGACCGTACCTGGATATAAGCGTTGAGGAGATTAAAGGTGAAAGCCATAGCGGCGATGGTGATTGGAAACCCGTTTTTCCCGGCGGAGGAGCTGCGGAAGAGACGGAGAGGGTAAATGATGGTACGGTGGAAGTAATGGAGGAGATAAGGAGAGAAGAGGAGGAGAGATTTAGGATTGAGAGCGTGACGACCAAAGGGAAAGATGAGAAGTGTGAGCCACAAGGTTGGGCTCTCCATGACGAACCAAGCAATCGGCGGAGATACGGTTGGACCCCATCCGGTACGGTTATGTTTGCCGTAAGGAGCTTGGAGGAATTTCAGAGCGACCGCGGTTGGTGGACCGGAGAAAATTAGGGTGAGGAGGCAGTAGTGGAAGAAGGTTTGATCGGCGATCTCTTCCATTTTTGGGGTTTTGGAATTGGGAAAAGATCAGATCTTTAAGGGCCGAGCCAAGTACAGCTCAAGTTTGGAACTTTATTTGGAATTTTTTTTTTTTTTGGTCTCTACTCTATAGTGGATTTTTTACAAAAAAAGGAATAGTTTTTTTTTTTTTTTTTTGTGATTGCTGACCAACTCAAATCAAGTTTTGTTTTTCCTTATTATATCATATAACAATATGTTAAAATGTCCTCATGCCTGAATGATTGTTAACAGTTTTTTTTTTTTTTTTTTTTTTAATTGCTGACCAACTCAAATCAAGTTTTGTTTTTCCTTATTATATCATATACCAATATTTTAAAATGTCCTCATGTAGGCGGATAAAGATAGTCTAAGAGTATTTTCATGGATTATGTGGTATATTTGGAAGGCGCGCAATCGCAAGATTTTCGATAATTTGAGTGTACCACCTCAGGAAACGCTTGATCTTGCAATTCAAGAGGAAGGCGCGTGGAGGCGAGCAAATCAGCGAGAAGACCCCCCGGCCGAGCCGATTCTTAGTTCGCATGAGGCACCAGCTGCAAAGAATAGACCAGTATGCTCCATTGATGGTTCTTGGATCGGGACGGAGACTAGGAGTGGACATGGGTGGCTTATCCATCAGGGAGGACGACTTCTACACTTGGGCTTGAAAGGCTCGCGTAGAAGTCTTTCTCCCCTACATGCTGAACTAGATACTCTCTTATGGGCGATGAAGTGTTTATTGGCGATCCCAATGACGAATATCCTCATTCAGACGGATTGCTCTGACCTATTGGCAATGACTAGTGCTCCTGAGGAATGGCCTACGTTTTCTACAGAGTTAACAGACTTTGCTTATTACAGGGATCGTTTTACTTCTTTTAGTCTTAAGCATATTCCCCGTAGTGGTAATACCTCCGCCGATTATCTTGCGAAATGTGCAAGAAATCGCGGGTTCTGTTTTTCCCATGTAAGTTCTACGGTACATGATTGGCTCTCTCTAGAAGAGAATCTTATTCCGTGAATTAATATATGGTGTTTGATTGGCAAAAAAAAAAAAAAGCAAAATGTCCTCATGCCTGAATGATTGTTAATTTGCTTTTATGCATAATTTTATATTCTAACACTTAAATCTGTGGCATTACAGTTGCATCTAGTTTTGATGTAATCACAGAAAAGCCAGAGAAATATATTCTAGTTATAAAAAAAAAAAAAATTAATTTTTAAGCAATATTTTTTCTGGTATCCTATTGAAACCTCTAAATGTGTAAAAGGAGAGTCTTTTGGATCTAGAAGACTCGTTCTCCGGTTGCAAAGAGGATCCAAAACACGGTGGTTGCAAAGTAAAGAAACGCCGTTACCGTCAAGAACGCCTGAAAAGAGCCTAGCCACTGTACAAAATATCCCGTCCCTATTGTACTTACGATTGCAGCCAACGTACCCGCACAATTCGAAATACCTGCCTCCCACACCAAATACACAAAACCTAACTTTTTCAGCAAGAAACAATATCGATACAAAAGAAAGAAAAAAAGATCCACCATTTACCGTGCAGGAAACCAGCATATTGCGGTGCGATGTCCTGTTTTCGCAAAGAGAAACCAAAGGATGTTGTGAGATTCAAGATTATTCCAAAATGCTTAAAATTAGTGGTCAATCAAATTTGGAGTGACTGGTTATAATTTATAAGGGCTAGAATTAACGTACTTGCATATTGAGGAGAAACCCAGCTTGGCTAAAGGAACTCAAGCTTAATGCAATGGTCATGAAAACCGCTGCACAAGAAGGCGATTTAGCGAAGTTGAGGCAGAGCAGAGATAGCCCAGGACCCATAAATCCGATAGACTGACAAATATAAAAGCCGGGACTTTCGTTAGTATGTGAGAACATTTAAACTTATGGGTCGGCCTTTTAGTTAACCAAGTATGGCACTTTTAATACCCACCTGCATGATTTTTCGGACTGAGGTTACAGAGTGACCAGTTCTGATCAAGAAGTCTGATGCTGCACCTGCATAGTAACCTGAGATCGCCATTGTCGCCCATGGAAGAGCGCTAAACCAAGCTGCTTGCTTCAAATTTACATTAAACACCTGTGATCAAATCAAACAAGACATTGATATAAAACATCATATATATTTTCAGTTCATAGAATCAAAACATGAAATAAACCCTACTTACCGTCTGGAAGTAAACAGGCATCCATGAGAGAAGAACAAAGTATCCCTGTGAACAACAACTAACGAAACCGTGTGAGTTTATGACAAAAAGATGAGGCATTGCTTTGATAAAGATACTATTAAACTCAATCTCACCCAGTTGTTAGTCACATTAGCTAAAATGATCGCCCAAGTAGGCAATTTCGACAAAAGAAGTCGTAAAGATGGGTTTGGTTTCGTCGAATTGGTTGATGGTTGAACCGGTTTTCCAGCCTGGATAAGCCTGAGTTCTGACCTAGTGATGAAAGGACTGTCCTGAGGGTTGTTTGTAACGCCGCTTGACCAAGTAGATACCCACAATAGACCTAAGGATGCAAAAAGAATGAATGGACCAGAGATTCCTATGGAAGATAACAAGAGTGGCGTCAACAGAAGTCCCACGACATTTCCCATATGAAACCCGGCCATAGATATACCAACAGCACTCGCTCGTTCATCCGTTGGGAACCACCTGAGGAAACAATATCTCTAACTTAGGTTGTGGTTGTTTCAAACCCCAATTTCTGCTTTTGCTGTTTACATATGATTTTTTTCTCAAAAAAGTTCACATAGTTAAAACGTATAACGTTTTCATTTTTTCAAAATGTAAGTAGTTAGAATAGAAGGAATTACCGAGAGAGAAGGGTCGTCATGGAGGGCAATGCAACACCTTCAGCGAGGCCAAAAAAGGCGCGGACACACAATAAGGCTAAGGTCGAGTGGGCAGCTGCCCAAGGAGTGAGTAGAGTGGCTAAGGACCACAATGCCACTCCCCAAGCCAATACTCTTTTCCCTCCATACCGATCCACCAATGCCCCTCCGATAACCGATGAAAAAATGTAACCCCATAGGAAGGAGGACTGCAAAATAAACAAGTTTCAATTCATACTATAAAAAAAATATAGTGTTAGCCAAACAATTTAAGTAGTGCTCATCAAAGAGTCCTAACCAAGAACCTAGAAGATATCCATCTAGTAATTGAGGACTCGCTCTGTTAGTTGAGATCATCCACAATTAGCAAGAAAGTGTTTTTTACTTGTTTTGAGATTAAATCCGAATTTCGGTTAAATAGTTATCTAAACTTAATTTAGGATCATATCCTATGTAATGGTTTTGTTGTTTGCATTGGTATTGAATGTCTACAAAATGAGAGAGATTGTATCTTATTTTTAGCTTTGAAGCCAGACAAAAAACTCAATAAAAGGACAATGAACGTGACCCACACGGCCACACCATAAACGGTTTGGTAATAACTAATAAGTTTCACATTCACATTAAGGTCAAGCCTTCTCCACGCTTGCCGCCTAAAATAAGGCACCTACTCTTGTTCTCAACAACCACTCCCTCTTTTTTCTAATTTATATAACAATATTTTGTTTCATTTTTCTTGGAATCTAATGCAACTATCTTACGTTCTTTAATCACCAGATATTCTTTCAAGTATTTTACAATTTATAAATACAATTATGGAATTTAAGAATGATTCAAATCCGTAAAAATTAGTATATGTTGAGCTATTTTTATAAGGAAACCAAATCTTGAAATCTTCATACTTTTATGGTAATCTTGATTTCTTCAAGATACGCGGATCAAGAATGTAATTAGCGGAGTTAATGAAAGAGAAAAAAAAAACTAAAGAAATTAGGAAGATTAAGAAAATACCTGAACTACCCCTAAGAAAGAACTCGACCAGCCAAGCTTGTCGGCGAGTGGAACCACCGCGACGGACATAACAACTCTGTCGGCATTACACAGACACATCATGCACGCGGTCAATATCACTACCTTAATCCTCTCAGGCATCATCGTCCTCACCTCCGTAATCGCCTCCGACGCTCCTCCTCCGATCAGTCTTCCCTCCGCCGCACATCTTTCCGGCGACTGATTTCTCTTCTTCGCCGCCGCCACCACCGCCTCACCTCTTCTCTTCCCATCGCTTTCCGATGAAGAAAGTAAATTATCACATCGAATCTGATTTTTCCGGGGACCAAACCCGAAACGCAGAAGGGCTTTCTTGGTTGCGATTGGATTCCGATGGAAACTCAATGAACATGACGAATGTTGCAGAAGTTTTAGAGATCCTGTTGCTGTTGCCGCCATTAACGATTATATAGGAAAGATCAGCTTTTCATGCCAATAATGATGTGAATGTTTTAGGAATGGTTGGAGTAACGAGAGAGAGAGAGAGTTTCAGCGAGAGAGCGAATCCGCCATGAAAGAAACGTATGAAAGTCTTGTGCTGGTGGTGTTTGGTGGTGAAGGGTATTTTAGTCAATCAATGAAGAAAATAGTTTCTGCTGTATCCTACGTGGAGACACGTGATGTGTTGATATGACAAAGTGACTCCACCACGTCAGCCCCACCTACAACGGGTCAACCGGGTTTGTTGACCGGAGTCTCGGTTAGCAATTGCTAGGTTTATTTTTGGTACATCTAAAATGGAAAGAAAGAACAAGCCCACTTATTTGAAAGAGTAATTCATTCAAAGCCCAAAAAGGAAAAAGTAGTAGTAGTAAATCAGTAGTGTGGTGATCCTAATAACAACGGCAACGCCATCGATGAATGGTAATGTCGTACAATGCAGTTTATGGATGCGATCAGGAGTGTGCTTTCCATTTTAGTAATTTCTTTTACAATCACTCCAATCGTTTTTAAGTCGCTTTGTCAATTCAAAATCAAAAGTATGGGATAACTACATTGCACTAGCTAGAAATGTGTTATTGTATTTTAATGTAACTAATCACACACAGACTGTGTCGCTATTAAAACATATTTGGTATTTGTTACATAGACTTCTTGTCGTATTTACACAGTCATACATGATGTCATTTTAGTGTGCATAGATCATAGAATATAAAAAGATTTCAAAAATATTATATGAGAAAAAACTAGATACAACTTTTCTATCATTTAAGTGTATGACTACTACGATCCTAATAGTTTGCAGTGAGATCATGAGATGCCTAAACGGCTAACTATTAGGCATTTAAGAGAAACTTGCTCGTGTTTCTCAAAATCTATTACATAATTTGGTGATATACGTATTTTAAAATACTAAAGTTAGACTCAAAAAATTGAAAGTGGGAATGCACCTATGAGTGGTTCATAACATGGCAGGGGTCACATTACCCTCACATGTTTCGAATTCCTTTCCTAAATAAATAAAAGATTCCAAACTCCATTAAAACTCCTACGACATCTAAAAAGAAAAGTGAAACATGATCTTTCACAAATATAAAAACAACTTCTACGACATCTAAAAAAGAAGAGAGGTCCTATTTTAAATATAACAACAACCTACGAGGGAACAATTGAAAGAGACAGAACGAAATAACATTTTCTTTTGAAACTTTAGCCTAATATATCCACGAAGACATTAGTCATTTACTCAATAAAATGGGCCGAAGCTAAGCCCAAAATCGAGACACGTGTGGTTTACACGAGTTTGGTTAAGTCTAAACTCGTGACTCACCGACGTGACTCTCTTCAATCTTCATCACTCTCCCCCGTGCGCCGTCGGTGCTATTCCACGCCCTTCTTCATTTTCTCAATTAATTTTCCCTTAAATTTAAATCCTGAAGTTATTTGGATATTCATTTTTTTTGGGCTAAGATAATACTATTCACGTGTGTGAATTTACCTCCACACTGAATAACTAAATTCTACTCATGATTTTTCATGTGTCCAAATTTATATAATGAAGTTAAATAAGTTTATATGTGATTGTACATGGACAACATAGAAAAAGTTCATAATTTTACATGAGTATAATTAACATCATATTTTATTTAAAAGGCAAAAGGTAGAGAAAACAAAAAGAGCAATAGAACAAGAAAAAGCTCAAATAAAATGAAAGTGGAAAGACAGAAAATATAAAGAGAAAGACAGAAAAGGAAAAAAAAGAAAGCGAAATGTGATTAGAAAGTGAACAAGTAATGGCAGAAACATCCTCGAGCTATTACCTGACTTTGCATTTCCCCTTAAAGTATAAAAACTATTCAAATGTTTTTTTCCTCGTAAAATGAAAAAAAAAAAAAAAAAAAAAAAACTTTGAAATATATCTAACAATGTCATCTAATAAAATGTCATTATTTTCATACAATCACAAACAACAAACTAACACATATAATCCAAGTAAAGATATATAATTGTTGCACTGAAGTTCCCTGTTTTCTACAAGACCCATATATGCATACATGAAGCTAGCATTAGAGCATGATTAACAATGATATCTTAAAAATGGTTCTTAGAAGTATTAAAGTAATAATATGACATGTGGTTGGTTCTTAAAGTTAGTTTTGGGTCTTAGCTAAGCCACTTTTCTTAGTTTTGGGTCTTAGCTAAGCCATATTTCTTACTTAAGAACTCTTTAAGATACCCTTGTTAATGGTGGTCTTACCATGCCAAGGTAGGATCCGAAAACACATATTTACAATCTCGTTAACGTACTTTTTGACCAGCCCCCATTTAACCAGAAATCGACTATATATATGTATATGATCAAACTAACTATTGTTTTTATTTTTTGGAACACATTATGATCAAACTAACTAGTCCATGGCTTTAGTATAAATTGATATGTCAATCCGAATCATGGAAAAATAGTAAAAACATGCATAAAACAAAGATGAAAGAAGGTTCACGCGTACGAATGAGAATCTATTTCTCTACAATAAGTAGCCAAAACACAAAGATTGGTGTCACTTTGACTTTGGACATTCGTATTCACATTTAAACTCGAATAAAAATGTTTTTAGTAATGACAAAATCGATCATAAATGATGAGTTTTGGTTCCAGCTATGTCGAATCCATAAATTTGAATATACATACGTTAGCTTAAAAGTTCAAAAAAAAAAAAAAAAAAAGACAAGATGTGTGAAAACTCAAAATATGAGTAGACAAACAAATGGCTTGTCCCTTCAAGTTGGTGAAAAAAAACAAAGATGGTCTTTGGTTTTTAACTTCATAGGTAGCGATAGTAGAAGTAAAACTTAGGGGTGTAACAGTCATTTAACAAGCGAGAGCCCCTAGACTTTTTTTTTGCTTACTCTGTCTGCAGTAGTAGTAGTCTTGTAGTACGACTCACTGCTAAAGTTACAACGGAACTAGCTATAAGGAAATTTCAAAAAGTGACCCCTCATATTTTATCTTTTTTCTAATTTCACCCCTTTCTTTTATAAACTCACTAATCGCCCCTCTCTATTTTCTCTTTCCTTTGTCACTATCCGTTGAGAACCCAAACGGCTCTCTCTTCTCTGACTTTCTCTCTCGAGATCGGTCGACATTTTTCTCTGAAGCTCTCTTCTATCTTTACGAATCCCGATATGAGCCACGGGTGGTTATGGTTATGAATAATCCTGCAAACAACAACCCAGTTGCAGCGTTGTCAGCCGTAGCTTTAGCTCCGCCGCCACATCCGCCGCAGCCTCACCGTCCTTCTACCTCCTGTGATCGTCACCCGGACGAAAGATTCACCGGATTTTGCCCTTCTTGTCTCTTCGACCGTCTCTCTGTTCTAGACATCACCGGAAAGAACACCGTCGCGTCTTCTTCTAGGAAACCACCGTCGTCTTCCGCTGCTCTTAAAGCAATCTTCAAGCCCTCTTCCTCCTCCGGGTCGTTGTTCCCGGAACTTCGGAGGACGAAATCGTTTTCGGCGACAAAGGCTGAAGCTTTTTCTTTGGGTGCGTTTGAGCCACAGAGAAGATCCTGTGATGTTAGGGTTAGGAACACTCTCTGGTCTCTGTTTCACGAAGACGCCGAGCATAATTCTCAAACCAAAGAGGGTTTATCAGTAAATTGCAGTGAGGTTGATCTCGAACGCATCAATTCCATTGTAAAGTCGCCTGTTTTCGAGGAGGAAACTATAATTGAAAGTGAGCAAGACAACGAGAAAGACATAAATTTTGGGACTTTCAAGGAACCCAGAAGTGTAATCGACGAAATCGTTGAAGAAGAAGAGGAGGAAGAAGAAATTGAAGAAGAGGAGACGAAGAAAGTTGAGGACTTTCAAATGGAAATTAATCCTCAGACGACGAAGAAGACGAACAGAGACTTCAAAGAGATTGCAGGGAGTTTCTGGTCAGCGGCATCAGTATTCAGCAAGAAATTGCAGAAATGGCGACAAAAGCAGAAGCTTAAGAAGCATAGAACGGGCGCCGGATCCGCTGCGTTACCGGTGGAGAAGTCAATTGGGAGACAGCTTAGGGACACTCAATCTGAAATCGCTGAGTATGGTTACGGACGGAGATCGTGTGATACAGATCCAAGATTCTCAATCGACGCCGGAAGATTCTCGCTTGACGCCGGTAGGGTTTCGGTGGACGACCCTCGTTACTCTTTTGAGGAGCCACGAGCTTCTTGGGATGGATATTTGATCGGAAGAACGGCTGCTCCGCCGCGAATGCCGTCGATGTTATCGGTTGTGGAAGATTCTCCGGTTCGTAATCATGTTTTCAGGTCAGATACTCAGATTCCGGTGGAAAAGCCACCACCAGTACCAGGACGTGTAAATGAGGAGATTGTTCCTGGTGGATCTGCACAGACCCGAGAGTACTACTTAGACTCATCTTCACGACGGAGGAAGAGCCTTGACCGTTCTAGCTCCACTAGGAAGATATCAGCCTCTGTCATGGCTGAAATTGATGAACTAAAACTGACTCAAGACAGAGAGGCTAAAGACTTGATTTCACATTCGCATTCACATTCGAATTCACTGAGAGACGATTGTTGCTCAGTTGAGAACAACTACGAGATGGGTGTTAGAGAAAATGTAGGGACTATAGAATGCAACAAGAAGAGGACGAAGAAATCTCGATGGAGTTGGAACATATTCGGGCTGCTTCATTGGAAAAACGGGAACAAATACGAAGAAGAAGAAGAACGAAGAAGTGGTGTGGATAGAACGTTTTCGCGATCGTGGAATGTAGAATCGAGAAACGGGTTTGATCCGAAGATGATTAGGAGCAATAGTAGTGTGAGTTGGAGAAGTTCCGGTACCACTGGAGGAGGGTATCAACGGAATAGTGTGGATGGATACATTAGTGGGAAGAAGAAAGTTAGTAAGGCTGAGAATGGAATGCTCAAGTTTTACTTGACACCGGGTAAAGGAAGGCGAAGAGGAAGCGGCAATTCGGCCGCACCGACAAACCGGCCAGTACCGGGTTCTCAACCGTTTGGTAGTAGAAATGTTATGAACTTTTACTGACAACATTGTAATGAGCTCGAATCTTCTTTTTAGATGTAGTTGGAATAAGTGTGATGATGAAGTTGCATTGACAAAAAATGTTCAAAGATTTTTTTTTTTTTTTTGGGTTCAATCTGATTCTTGTATGGGGATTTGATTGCTCAAATTTAGAAACTTGTAGTTCAAAGTGTTAATCAATCTTCTTTGGTCATGAATGTATACATAATTTTGAGTTGATTTAATTTTTCTTACTAGTATATATGAGATTTGAAATGTTTGCTAAATCAGGAGCAACTCCTGGACAAAAGAAGGTTCGATTTTCAACTAATCAAAGAATATGAGCATCCGAAATTTTCGCATAGCGCTTCACTTTGATAAACTTATAACTAAACCTTTTACGTTTTACCTTCATAGATTAATTAATTTGAAATCAAAGTCAAAATGTTCAAATTTTTTTTATAAAAGGCTTTGTCAGTAGTTTAGTATAATAAGCAAAATAAAATAAAATTGTATATCACAAATCATCATATACAACTAAAATGCATTACTTTTTGTTGGATTATTCATTTCAAAGACTTGGACACTTTGTTGTCAAGCTCAAGCGACAACAGAAACAAAAGATAAATATTGGGCCCGTGGAAGATGTTAGAGACAAGAAACTAACAAAAAAGACATGTTAAGGAGACAAGAAGAGCCCGTGTGAGCATACGACTCCAAAAATGATTTGAGGTCATAGGTAAACAATAACTCTCTTGGGCCTTTTGTTAAGGAAAACAAATTAAATCATACTCTTTGATATGAGGAAAAAAAAAATTAAAAATTAAAACTAGACACTGGCCATGAGCTTGGAGATCTTTGTCAAACTCAAGCGAGAGATTATGATCCCTACTGGTTAATCTAAAACTTTCCCTTTTCTCACAAAATCTAGAGATAATTTACGAAAAATCCACACCAAAAAAAGAAGAAGCAAAATCAACTGCAAAATATTCCGATAGTTTAGTTTACGTCAGGCCCGGCTTGATATTTTAGTTCTGAAAGCCCATAAGAGTTTTAGTTAGCCCAGCTCACACTAACAAGTAGCAAACTAAAGTCAACCTTTTCAGTCCAAGCTGATGAGAATACAATTATACACATTCTTATAAATACAAAACAAAAATTAAAAAGTTTTGATGAGAACAGTCGATATTTCCAGGATTCCAAATTGTTACGTTGTTGTCTTTTGGACTTTAGTGTCACTTAAAACGAAGTGTTACTTTCAAAGACTGTTGAGAAAATGACAATAACAAATTAACTACAAATTGGAAGTGATTGACATTTTACCCAATTTTAACCATGACCGCTCAGCAAATCATCTGTCGGCTTAAGTGGCTAACTGGGACATCTCCGTACGGCAAACATACTTATTAGCCAATTTGACCAGAAATGTATAAAAACTGTTTATATGGTGTGTGACCTAAACGGTGTCGTCCAAGTGACACGCATTTTGTATGTAGCCTTAGCTTTGAAACAAACCCAAAGAGGCTGTCTTTGTTGGGTCATTGTTTACAACGACATGAAAGCCATTTCTCAACTTATTCTAC